TAGAAACTGTCAAGGGAGACTACTCTAATATTTGTAGGATTAAAAGTTCTTATTAAGAGTTTTTTTTCATTAGGCTATTAAATGAAAAGTTACTTTTGTAGGATCCATAAAAGAATAAAAGATTACCTTGCATTTAAAAAAAGATATTCGATAGGTTTAGAATGAAAAATTATTAAAATTATCTATTATATTCATTAGTTAGCCTATTAATTTTTTTTCAAACTATATAATAGAAAGGCCAATTTTAATTATTTAAAAAAAATCTTATTTTAATTAATAAATTATAAACGAAGATAGAGGTTCTGTATTTTCAAAAAAAATAGTTTAACTGTCCCTGAACAATTGTATCAATCGCAGGGAAATTAATAATTAATAATTACGTGAAACGCATTGTTAATTAAACGAATTGAATTTTTTTCCGTTTTGATAAACTCTCTGTCTCTTTATAACTAATAACGCGGTATCATTGAGTTTCTTAAGAGAAATATCCAAGAGAGCGGTAGTTATCATCGACTCTGTCATGGATAATTTCATTGAGTCTTACATAGAAAATAGTGTTTGATCGGCTGGAGAGAGAGAAGTGCGCACATGGCCTTTTACATATTAGGATATACGTTTTTTTTGAGAAATCGGAAGTATCGAAAAGCACTTCTGGTAATCGGAAATTGCTCAAAATTCGGCAGAAGGAAGATAATTAGATATTTTGCTTCTATGTGAAATTACGTTTATCTATGTGAAACAATACTTAAGTTATGGGCTTATGAAAATCCAAAAGTAGAATAAGCTCCACTTTCGGTTATCGGAAATCGCTGAAAAGTTGATACAGAACTACAAATTTAAAATAATACTTATTTATGAAATTTCATTAACCTAGTTGTAACGGTGCTCAAGTTATCGTGTTCACAGACATACAATTCAATAGAATTAACTCTTTCTGTACTTTACACGTTGTTCTCATAAATGTTCAAAAAAAATCGCTTTGAAACAACACGATCAAAATCCCCTCTATCTACTGATCCACAACCTACCTGCTACTGTGTCTGGGATAAAATAAAACGTAGTCTTCTCAAACTAATCACCCAATTTGTTTGCATTAATTGTTGGCCGTGTTATCTTTCAAGCTACATAGCCTTCAGTCTTGCTTGTATCCCCTATATCTAGGCCAATACACATGCGAGTAGGTATAAATGTGTGTAAGACAGCATCTAATGGTGTTAGGTCTTGCCAAGATAAAATTGCGTTGAGTAAAATGTTCGTTTTATGAGATCTCTGGAGTTATCTATTCAAACTGTTGTTTACTTCTGGACATGCATGTGTTTAGATCAAATCCCTGGTTGAGTCTTACTCAATGGCGTAGCGAGGTCGGGTGTTACCCGGTGCGCAGAGGCGTAGCGATGGGGGGGGGGCAGGTGGGGTACATACGTCCCCGGGCGCGGACCTTAGGGGGCGCCAAAATGGGTTGTAAAAACAAATTAAAATGTCATTTTAGCTGCATTTTTGCATTATATATAGTTTGGGGGGGGGGGGGGAGTGGTGCAAATCGAAAGTTTGAGGGGGGGGGGGTGCAGGTGCAAATTGAAAATGTGCTCCCGAGGGGGGCGCCAAATTGAAAGTTTGTCCCCGGGCGCCGGGAAGGGTCGCTACGCTTCTGCCGGTGCGGCACCCCCTCCGTAAGAGAAATCGATAAGAAATTATATATATATATATATATATATATATATATATATATATATATATATATATATATATATATATATAATCCATATACACTTGCAAGTATGTATATACGCATTTGTGTATGTATTAATTTTTTTTCTGCTGGATGCATTTACTTTTTTTACTGGTTTACCCCCTCCACCCCAAACCAAACCCCCCCCCCCCCCCACCGAAAAAGTTCTACAGCCCCCCCCCCCCCCCCCCCCGAAGAAAGTCTACCTACCGCCCCCCCCCCCCCCCCTCGATAATTTCAAGTGCCCCCCCCCCCCCCCCCGGAGAAAAAAGTCTTAAAGAAACACTGCCCCAACCATGTATTTATAGCTTATTACGATTCTCAACCAAACCGTTCACCTCAGGCAACGTTGTGTTGATGTAACTCTCCCCACCTATTTTCATATCCACGGTGATTGCTTTAAAATGTGTTCAGATAATACTACCTATTTGTATCTATATTCGGTTATAAATTCAGCTGAATTTTTCATGTTTTCTTCATCATTAGCAGGTTTACGTCTTGGTGTCAACCCCCCCCCCCCCCCTCCCCTCCCCTCCACCGTTGTCGGGATTTGTCCACTTTGCTCATGAAAGACTAATTCACTCTAATTAATCATTTAATAAAGTGAAACAATCATTTTTCTGCATATATTTTGCTATTTTTGCCTTGGTGTCACCCCCCCCCCCACCCTAAATGGTGTCACCCGGTGCGGTCCGCACCCCCCCCCCCCCCCTCCCCCCACTCGCTACGCCTCTGGTCTTACTCAAGAGTTCGGCTGAGGTCAAAACAAACCCAACCCATATGATTGACGATCGGGTTTCATTAGTGCGGACGATAGAACTCTATTAAGAGGGGTCCGGTGAAAGCACACATGAAACTGGTGGGGTTCGGTACCTCCAAAAATGTTAAGAACTAGTGGTTTGGATTAACGACCCTTGGTTGAGTGGTCAAGCAAATCTGCTGTTTTACTCAGGCTTTACTTTTACAATGTTTATTCTGGACGTTCATATCTGTCTGAGCTTAGATTAACGTCAAGTCTGTCTGAGCTTAGATTAACGTCACGTCTGTCTGAGCTTAGATTAACGTCACGTCTGTCTGAGCTTAGATTAACGTCACGTCTGTCTGAGCTTAGATTAACGTCACGTCTGTCTGGGCTTAGATTAACGTCACGTCTGCCAGAGCTTAGATTAACGTCACGCCTGTCTGAGCTTAGATTAACGTCACGTCTGTCTGAGCTTAGATTAACGTCACGTCTGTCTGAGCTTAGATTAACGTCACGTCTGTCTGAGCTTAGATTAACGTCACGTCTGTCTGAGCTTAGATTAACGTCACGTCTGTCTGAGCTTAGATTAACGTCACGTCTGTCAGAGCTTAGATTAACGTCACGTCTGTCTGAGCTTAGATTAACGTCACGTCTGTCTGAGCTTAGATTAACGTCACGTCTGTCTGAGCTTAGATTAACGTCACGTCTGTCTGAGCTTAGGTTAACGTCACGTCTGTCTGTGCTTAGATTAACGTCACGTGTGTCTGAGCTTAGATTAACGTAACGTCTGTCTGAGCTTAGATTAACGTCACGTCTGTCTGAGCTTCGATTAACGTCACGTCTGTCTGAGCTTAGATTAACGCCACGTCTGTCTGAGCTTAGATTAACGCCACGTCTGTCTGAGCTTAGATTAACGTCACGTCTGTCTGAGCTTAGATTAACGTCACGTCTGTCTGAGCTTAGATTAACGTCACGTCTGTCTGAGCTTAAATTAACGTCACGTCTGTCTGAGCTTAGATTAACGTCACGTCTGTCTGAGCTTAGATTAACGTCACGTCTGTCTGAGCTTAGATTAACCTCACGTCTGTCTGAGCTTAGATTAACGTCACGTCTGTCTGAGCTTAGATTAACGTCACGTCTGTCTGAGCTTAGATTAACGTCACGTCTGTCTGAGTTGTCTGAGGAAGCTCCTGTTATAGGAGTCTACGTGACATTCTGAAACAAACTGGTACATTTTTTTTACTATTCATGTTGTAACCGAGGAAATGAAATTTCCAAACAATGCAAAAACAGCAATAGGTATTAGATACATTTCCGATAATGAGTGGCCTAAATGATAACTTTTTACTGGTATTACGTAACTTTAAGTGACTAGAATATACTAATTGGAAATTTTAGCTGAACATGCCTATACAAATTAATTTTTATCAATAAATAAAGTGAAGTTACTTTCCTGTACTGTATAAAAACAACGATCTTGTCATGTAGAACGTGACCTAGAATAAGAGTTATTTCCCTATATTATTTGTGTTCTTACAATGCCATGGTGCTGGAGTTATTTCCCTGTATTCTTTAAGTGAACACTTTCTTGCAGTGTGGACACAAAATAAAACAAAATCTCACATAAATTTTAATTTCCCCAGGTAATATTTATTGCTCAGCCTTCAAGGCTAAAAACATGTGGTCAAAATGTGGTCATCTAACATACACATAATCTGGTAACATATCTTAAAAAGTAGATCAACTATAGCAGACATAAAAAGGTAACATACAGCAATATATCAACAGGGCATTAAAAAATTACATGGCCTATATAAACTGGTCACATTTAGCAATATTTAGTGTCTAAGATCCTAAATAAATAAATGAAGTTTATACATATAAGTGCATGTTTATCAAGGTTTAGGGTTTGTAGATTGAACACACGCAAAAACAACTATTTTAACACAATATTTTTTTCAATGAAGTATTTTTAGCTATTTCAGTATAACATTGATCAACATTTTCAACTACATCAACACAACACCATATAATACATAGAGTACGTTTGTCAAAGATATGTAAAAGTTATAACAACAACAAAATAACAAACTGCTTGCTGAAAGACTGAATCAGCGGGCTAGCTATTAAATAGCTCTATACATATAGCTTCGTTTAAATAGCTCTATTCACATAGCTTCATTTAAATAGTTCTATTCAAATAGCGTTACTCAAATAGCTGAATTCAAATTGCTCTATTCACATAGTTCTATTCAAATAGCTTCATTTAAATAGTTCTATTCATATATCTTCATTTAAATAGCTCTATCACATAGTTATATTCAAATAGCTCTATTCACAAAGCTCTACTTAAATAGCTCTATTGAAAAGTAATTGTACTACAATAGTGATTGCATCAAAGTAAGCATATTAAACTTGTGAATGTATAAAAGTTGCTCTGTTAAAGGATGAATTCTATTGAAAGACTGGCTCAGACCCTAGAAAATAAGGGTTGCATTGCAGTAGACAATCTTCAGAATTGAAGTTACATTAACTTAAGCAGTATGTATAAGGAAGTAAAGATTCTGTTACAGAAACCATTGTAGTCAAGTTGTTACTAGAGAAGAGATTCTGCTGAAGTAGGGGTTGAGTGACATCATTGGTTGAAACTGGTATAACAGTGTCCGCACTATCCGCCTCCCCCTCAGGATCCTCCCAGTCCTCTTCCCTCTTCACAATGAGGCTGCTGTTCTTGATCCCATACAGAAAGTACAGGACCAAACCTGCGGGGTGGGGCGGGGGGAAGCAAAGGTGAGGAAAAATGGTATTTAAATAATTTTTAAAAAATAAATCAGCTCTAAAAATATATGTAAATATTCATTTAAACAAATTTATTATTTAATCTCTCCCATTTATGTTTTAAGATTTTGAAATTTTGTAGCAAAGTAGAAAAAAATACGCTCTATCTAAACTAGAAAGAACTTAGTCAAATTTCAGAACTTGTAATTTTACGATGTAATTAATATTTTTAAATAGTTGTAGACAAATCTAGCAATAAAGCTTTTCATCTCTCAAGGGACGCAGTGGTCAAATTGTAGAGCATTTGACTGCTAACCCTTAAAGTATAGACTTCTGATCCTGGCTTCAAGTCCATGTGTTCACCCAGCTCTAAAGGGAAAAAAAGGTGGCTGGGTATAGTGCTGACCATACTATCCCTATAATTGAATCAGGTAAACTCTACTTCACCTGCCTCTTGTACCTTAAGGTTTGAAAGGGTAGTTTACCTCTCTACGGATTCAAAAGAAAAACCTCATATATTTAAAGTATGTGATCACTAAAAGATGGTACCTACCTATTGCCATCCAGACTAAAAATAGAAGCCATGTGATCCAGTGTAGTGATGTCATCAAATAGAGATTAATGCTGGCAGTGAAAACAGTGATCAGAGGAACAAATGGAGCTCTAAAGCCTTCATGTTTTCTAGGGAAAAGTTATACAGGAATTATTTAAATAGGCTTAAAAAGTGTATTCTGTGCGGAAATGTTATGGGGTTTTGTTAAATAGGCTTATTAAAACATGTTTTCTGTGGAAAAGTTATACAGAAATATTTTAGGCTTAAATCCAGTGTTTCTTCCTGACCTTTTTCTCCGGGGGGTGGGGGCATTTGAAATTTTCGAGGGGGCGGTAGACTTTCTTCGGAGGGGGGGGGGATGTAAAAGTATATATTTTCTATATAAATTATATAAATTTCATTTCGTTTTGATGCCTGGAAGAAACTCTGCTTAAACGTGTTCTCTGTGAGGCAAAGTCATTGAGGGTTTTTTAAAAAGGCTTATTAAAACAAGTTTCCTGTGGAAAAGTTATACAGAAATTCTTTAAATAGGTTTAAAATGTGTTTTCTATAAGGAAAAGTTATAGTTTCTTTACTTAGGTTTGAAACATCATGTTCTCTGTAATAGACTTTTGTTTTTTTAAATAGGTTTTAAAAAACTCTTCAAATGGTGAAATTAGTGTATCAACTATAAATGGCCGTTCCCAAATAAATAAAAATTACTATTCTAAATCATAAAAGCTGTTAGTTTTGATTTAAAAGATCTCTAATAATTTCTTTAAATATTTATTCATTTTTCTAACATTGTCCATATTTACTCAGCTTATGTAGGTACCCAGCATGACACAGGCTATTGCTATGTGTTGATAACAAAAATTAACCCATTCTGCCTGTATTTGGTATAGTTCTATCAATACCACTCCATCTTCCCAATGGATATGTATCATAGGTCAGCTATGTATTTAATTAGCATAATTAATGAACTGGTAGCTAATTATGAAAAACTTACATTTTTGAGTGTGGAAGAAGCATTAAAATAACAGCAAGGGTTGTCATGGTAACCACCAACAAACAAAGTATACAAATCACAAGTATATTCTTGTCCAATATAAACTGGTACAGGTTAGCCACAATTCCACAGCACATAAATATACTTGCATACAATGCAAACAGAAAGACGTAGATATGCTGGCTAACATATAGCGTCAACCTTGTACATTTTGAACACTGTGGTTGCTTGGTGCATATATTTTTTATCGTGTTTGGGAAACTGTGTGTAAACTTCCAATAAAGAAGATTTCTCTTCACTGTTTTTCAAAAAGTGACCGCTGTCGTTGTGATCGTCTTCATGTCTTTTAAACAGAGAGCTGGAGGAGTCCCTTCTGGAACAAGCAGAGGCTCCCTCGGGTTGGTACGCAGGGTTTATAACCCCACCCACCTCCTTGCTGGAACTCTCAGAATGTGACGACTGTCTACTGAAGCTGAGACAAGAACCGTCAGTGGTTTGGTTCCCCTGCAGATCTGTGTCGGAAGTTTTTCTTTTAATACCAGGCAAGCAAGTCAAGTAGGAATCATGATGATTGGAACTCTCTGAAACAGATGTCTGGAACTTGACAGGTATGGGCGTGTAGAGAGGTGCTGAGTAAAGGTCGACGTATCGGATGATTAGCGTTGCATAGGTGACAATGACGTAGGCCAAGAGGGTGCCAATTAGCACCAGTCCAATGAGAAGGGTCAGGCTGACAAATGCTGCAAGAAAGGCAGCCACAAGGCCAGATGTAATGGTTGGACGTAATGCTGTGTGGCGCTTGGGGCACACGAGGGAAAAATATCTGAAAGAATAGTCAAATAATTTATTAAGGTAACTAGACTGCAATAATATAGAGAAGATAAAGTATTTATTTAGAAACATTAAAACAGTCCTTGTATAAACAAAATCCATGGAAGCCTTTCCACCAAACTTAACAAAAGCCTATGGCTTAGTTTGTATTTTAACAAAAGCAGAGGCTGGGACAAACTACCCCCTCCCCTCCTTCATATTATAGTTATTTATTCATATTGGTGAAAAAGCCCACCCCCTCCCTTATGTTTAAAATGTTGGTTATATTTAACAGTCACTATCCCAAAACAGTGTTTAATTTTTGGTAAAGAAAAGAATTAAATCAGTGTGTAAAGCCTAGTAGTTGTATATTTTCTTAACTTTGGCTGTCTATAATTCAATCGAACTTTTTCTACCCCTTTTGGTGCCCCTGTAGGAACAGCGCCATGGCAGCTACCCACCCTCCCCCTAGCTATGCCAATGAACAAAAGCCTAAGGATAGCCTTACGTAAAAAGACCACCCTAGTTGGCTTTTTGTAAAAAAAAATCCCGAGGCTAGTATCACCTAAACTAAAGCCCATGACTAGCCTTACCTAAACAAAAGCCCATCATGTGCCATTGCTTGTAGCACCCTAGGAAGAGGAAACAAAGATCCAAAAGTGGCAGCAAACAGACCAGCGACTGCCCCCACCCCCATGATGTACTTGAGGGCAGGGTAGCCGTTGATGGCGAACACATCCAGCATAGCTGTGTCTGCTGGGAGTAGGCTGGTGAAGTAGAGTAAATTTTATATTTAAGGGAGAGGCCTAGGGAAGTGGAATTAATTAGTGTAATTAAGGGAGAGGCCTAGGGAAGTGGAATTAATTATTGTAAATTTAATTAAGGGAGAAGCCTAGGGAAGTAGAATCAATTATTGGTCTTCTCAGTGGAGATAATGGGTAGGATTTTTGGGTAGGATTTTTGGGTAGGATTTTTGGGTAGAATTCTTGTGAACAATTCTGGGTAGAATTTCTGTGGTGAGTTTTCATGGGTTGAATTCTTGAGTACATTTATTCAGTAGATTTTTAAAACTCTGTGGCATTAACTACTAGGTGTGCTGACAATTTAATATTCTAACTGACAAAAAGTTTATACACTTTTTACTTTCTCGTATATATGAAGTATAGAGAAAGTCTTGTAATCGTGCAAAAAATCGAGATTTTTGCAAATCTCGATGTTTTACACCTCACTGATACGGAAAAACATAATTTTGCAATCTTGTACGTATGTCAGTGTGTCTGTCTGTCTGTCTGTGTGTGAACACGATTACTTGAGTACCGTTACAGCTAGGTTGATGAACTTTCATATATAAGTATTTTATCAAAATCGTAGATCCTGATCAACTTTTGAGCGATTTCCGATAACCGGAAGTGGTACTTTTTCTACTTTGAATTTTTTAAAAGCCTATAACTTGAGTACTGTTTCAGATAGATAAATGAAATTTCCCATGTAAGTAATAAATCTAATTCTCAACCTTCTATCAAATTTTCAGTAATTTCCGTTTACCGGAAGTACTACTTTACGCTATTTCCGTATTTTCAAAAAACGCATGTAAATTTATAAAGTACTAATAATATTGCGCACTATTATACACATCTTTATTCGGCGTTTGCTTGGTGCGCAATTGTTTTTTAATGAGATTCTATTCTATTTTTAAAAGTTTAAGTATTTAAAATGGATTAAAAATCATAACTATATCCCCAGTTACCATCCCCTGTTGTTTTATTTAAGAATATTCGAGAAAGTTTAGGGGAGATCACTACCGGTTTATTTAAATAGATATTCTAAAACTAAAGAAATAAAGAAATATTGTACATTAATTTATGTTTATAAAAAAGCTATAATACTACCAAGAAAAAAAATAATCCAGCATGCATCGGAATGGTCAGATGGTAGGGCAAACAACTGCTAACCTGAAAGTCTCAAGTTTGAATCCCAGGTTCATGTCAATAGAACATCCTTAAGTCTACCCAGCTCTAAAGAGTAACTGACTTGCAGTAGGGAAAGTAAAGGTAGCTAGGCATAGTGCTGACCTAGTTCATATACCAAGGTCACTGAAATTACTGAACTCTACTTCATTTTTGTAAGGGTAGTTACATTTTGTTTTAAATGCAAGGTTGACAGAGAAAGGAATTTTCATATACAAACTAGACTGGCTATCATACTAGACTGGATATCATACTAGACTGGCTATCATACTAGACTGGCTATCATACTAGACTGGATATCATACTATATACTTTGTTAAGGAAAATTGTTTTAGTACGTCATCTAAAATGTGTTTGTGAGTAGTGCTAATTTGCTGCTGATTCACTAGCTCAATACCGCCTTTTCATTACTGATCTGTGTCAGAGATTTCTGATATAAGTTCTTACTTGAAAGGCATGTTGAACGTCAAGCCAGCAACAACACATGTAAAGATGAGGATGTTGATGAGGATGGAGATGGGGATGGAGATGGGGATGGATCTGGCCGGAGTCCGGCACTCTGCCCCTGTGGTAGCCAGGCCGTCAAAACCAATAAATGCATAGCAGGCGGTGGGCACAGCAGTAAACACCTGCAAGGTGGTTTGGTTAAAAAAAAAATCAGAAAATGTTTTTGTATTGTGTAGATGTTTGATACAATAATGTTTAATATTTTAAAGTATAACAAATCTGTAAAATAATTATGACAGACTTGCAACATAAAAGATAAAAAATTATTATTTAAAAGGTGAAACACTAAACTTTTATCAATTAAAGTTTAAGATATAAAATAACATTAATGTGCATTAAAATTATACATACATATCCTACATAATAAACTAACAAAGTGTCTATGTAATCTAATATTGTAAATTTGAGTCATCTTAATCAGTCTTTTAACTATAAGTCATTATTATTGTACTCTCAGCAAAACATGTTTAAAAATGTAATCAACATTAATCCTTGTGAGCCAAGACTATTTTTATGTCAAATTGCATCATTCTTGTCTAATTAACCAAACAAAGTTATCAGTATAAAGATACAAGACATCAAAACTTAGAGGAATCCCCTCACTAAACATTCAGCATATAACTAAATACATCAAATAATCATTGAATTTAAATTGTATACCAATGTAAGTTTGTGACAATTTTTTCTTCATTTTTAAATAACATTTGAGACAGTATTGATTGTTTGTGTTCTATATTTTCTAGAATGTTAATTAAAAATAAAGTAAATAGCTTATAGATTAGACTATCTTCCTCTCACTAAATACTGACCCTCATGGAGTCAAAGCCAGCACTACAGAAAGAAACTGACCCCATGGTATCCATATGGCAAAAATCCGCCATGTTGTGACCAGTTGGACGAGGAGCCCAGGTAAAGAGAAGCTCCAACAAAACAGCCCAGACAACAGAGTTGAGGCCGTTGAGGACGTTGTTTACACGGGCCGACATCTGGACACCACTGGCCAGCAGCCACATCAGCAGGAGACAGACCAGCGTAGCAACAAAGTCAATGTGGGGCAGACCTGGGAGGGGAACATTGGACAAGGTTAGGGTAGTCAGTAGGCGGCAGATTAGGGCAGTCAGTAGGGAGCAGATTAGGGCAGTCAGTAGAGGGCAGATTAGGGCAGTCAGTAGGGAGCAGATTAGGGCAGTCAGTAGAGGGCAGATTAGGGCAGTCAGTAGAGGGCAGATTAGGGCAGTCAGTAGGGAGCAGATTAGGGCAGTCAGTAGAGGGCAGATTAGGGCAGTCAGTAGGGAGCAGATTAGGGCAGTCAGTAGGGAGCAGATTAGGGCAGTCAGTAGGGGCAGATTAGGGCAGTCAGTAGGGGGCAGATTAGGGCAGTCAGTAGGGAGCAGATTAAGGCAGTCAGTAGGGAGCAGATTAGGGCAGTCAGTAGGGAGCAGATTAGGGCAGTCAGTAGGGAGCAGATTAGGGCAGTCAGTAGGGGGCAGATTAGGGCAGTCAGTAGGGAGCAGATTAGGGCAGTCAGTAGGGAGCAGATTAGGGCAGTCAGTAGAGAGCAGATTAGGGCAGTCAGTAGGGGCAGATTAGGGCAGTCAGTAGGGGGCAGATTAGGGCAGTCAGTAGGGGCAGATTAGGGCAGTCAGTAGGGGGCAGATTAGGGCAGTCAGTAGGGGCAGATTAGGGCAGTCAGTAGGGGGCAGATTAGGGCAGTCAGTAGGGGGCAGATTAGGGCAGTCAGTAGGGGCAGATTAGGGCAGTCAGTAGGGGGCAGATTAGGGCAGTCAGTAGGGAGCAGATTAGGACAGTCAGTAGGGCCAGATTAGGGCAGTCAGTAGGGGCAGATTAGATTAGGGCAGTCAGTAGGGGGCAGATTAGGGCAGTCAGTAGGGGGCAGATTAGGGCTGTCAGCTTTTCTTTATGGTTATTTAAATAGTATTATTTTATATTTAAAGATAATCATTTTATGTACTCATTTTTAGTGCATTATTACATAAAAGCTTATTATTCAATGCATGTTTTTTTCTGAAAGAAGTTTTGTTTCATATTTTATAAATGAAAATCTGTTCTGTTCTTTACAAAAAAAAGTCATATTGTGTTCATTAATTAATAATTAATTTCAGCTTAATGATTAATACAACTATTGATATCTGAACTAATCAACATAAAAACATAAAAAGGACTCTAAATAATTATTTAAAGTAAAAAATAAAAAGTTAAGTATTAAATTCAACCAATAGTTTTCTAAGTTGACTTTAAGTCCAATGTTTCTTTTAAATTTAAAGAAGTATAAAGATTAGACCATCAGTGATATTAAAGTTATATTACTAATATTTAAGAAACATAGAAAACAATTATTCTATTTCAGAGTTTCATTAATGCAGAATTAGTTTTTATCGGTAAAGAATTTTGAAAATATCTATTTCTTGTTTCCCTTATTTACTTTTAATTTATAAATGGGAAGTAACTAATAATTTAATGGTCAATGTAAATAAACTTTTTAGGCATTGTATGATGGTTAGAAGATATCTGGGGGGGGGGGGGGATATGTGGATTAAGCTTTGTATGAGAATCTATTAGCAATAGAGTGAGTTTAGTTACAAGAGGATTAGAGTGTGTGAGGCTATTAGAGATATTCACAACAAAATGAACAAATGAACCACCCTGAACAAATGAACCACCCTGAACAAATGAACCACCCTGAACAAATGAACCACCCTGAACAAATGAACCACCCTGAACAAATGTACCACCCTGAACAAATAAACCACCCTGAACAAATGAACCACCCTGAACAAATGAACCACCCTGATCAAATGAACCACCCTGAACAAATGAACCACCCTGAACAAATGAACCACCCTGAACAAATGAACCACCCTGAACAAATGAACCACCCTGAACAAATGAACCACCATTATTGAAACCTACTACTCCAACATGCAATAGCAATGTTGCATTGATTTACCTAGCAAATTTTTCCATTCTGATGTTGCTCAGTTTAAACTTTTCAGGTAATTATTTTAGTCCAAAAAAAAAAGTAAATATCACTCACTAGCAGATTCCATGCAACTGTTTAAAAAACCAGAAATCTTTTTTTTCAGTGATGGAGTGAAAGGTCTCACTTAAAGCTACAGAAGCGGCTGCTGTGCCTATCACATACGCAACAAGAGTAGAACATGAATTATACATGAGTAGAACAATAACTATACATGAGTAGAACAATAATTACACAGGAGTAGAACAATAATTATACATGAGTAGAACAATAATTATACATGAGTAGAACAATAATTATACATGAGTAGAACGATAATTATACATGAGTAAAACAATAATTATACATGAGTAGAACAATAATTACACAGAAGTAGAACAATGGTTATACATGAGTAGAACAATAATTATACATGAGTAGAACAATAATTATACATGCGTAGAATAATGATTATGGTAGACTAGAACAATAGATTTAGTAAAGTAGAACAAGGTACAGTAGAGTAGAACTATGGTTATGTTAGGTTAAAACAAATGGGACGGTGTGGCCTAGCTGATGAGTGCTAGACTGCAAACCCAAAAGTCTTGAGTTCGAATCCTGTGAGTACCTACCTTACGCAAGGGAAATAAGGGTGGCTGGGCATAGTGCTTACCACACTATCCCTTCATATGGCAAGGTCACAGGATCAGGTGAACTCTACTTCACTAAACCAATGGACTGTCATTTTAGGTAACTTAAGTCAGAGTAGAACAATAGTTTGGTCAAAGCTGATTAATAGAACTGATGGGACCTTAAGAGTTGATTTGATTGAATTGATGGGACCTTAAGAGTTCATTGATAGAATTGATATGACCTTAAGAGTTGATTGATAGAATTGATATGACCTTAAGAGTTGATTGATAGAATTGACGGGACCTTAAGAGTTGATTGATAGAATTGACAGGACCTTTAAGAGTTGATTGATAGAATTGACAGGACCTTAAGAGTTGATTGATAGAATTGATGGGACCTTAAGAGTGGATTGATAGAATTAATGGAACCTTAAGAGTTGATTGATATAATTGATGGGACCTTAAGAGTTGATTGATAGAATTGAGGGAACCTTAAGAGTTGATTGATTGAATTGATGAAACCTTAAGAGTTGATTGATAGAATTGATGGGACCTTAAGAGTTGATTGATTGAATTGATGGGGCCTTAGGAGTTGATTGATAGAATTGATGGGACCTTAAGAGTTGATTGATTGAATTGATGGGAACCTGCACACAGCCATGAAGATTTAGTGACCAACACATCAGATCTACAAATTTAGTTTAGATCTTCTGTTGCAAGTTACATCACACTTTACTAACAGTATGACTAAGAGCTGTACTTTTATTACAAGGGTGGTGTAGTTTTAGCTTTTTAAACTTCATGTTTACAAGTAAAATAACAAACAATGATATTAATAGCTTTAAACATAGAACATTTGATTTATTTTTGACACTTTCAAGAATTTCAAAATGTACAAGTCAGACATTAAAAACTAGGATCACGGAAGGAAAGAAACAAACCTATAAGACCCCATCCAATGATGAATGCCCAGAGTTCTCCTATTGTCACGTACGTGTACATGTAGGCGGAGCCAGAGGTGTTGGGGCAGATGCCTGCTAGTTCTGCGTAGTGCAAACCTGAAAACATACGCAGGTGATATAAGAACAATGAGAGGTGTTGTCATAATTATTGTTATATCCCACTTCACCTGTTACAGCAGTACAATTTGAGAACCACCACCACAATTTGCTTCTCGATCTTATCTTTCTAATCACGATCACAACGTTCGGTGTTTTGATATATTATGTATAAGCCACCAGTATGTTTGTTTTTTCGTACTAGACATATTCTTTAACAAGATTTTTACTGCCACGTTCTCAAACCAAAATCAACTCTCTAAAATAAATCTAAGCTTTTGAAACAATTACGACTTAGTTGTTAACTGATCAGTTTCATCATTAATAATAATAAAGTCTCTACTAATTTCAACACCCGGACATGTTCAAACAATATTACAATAACGATTCAACTATTTTCAACTTTCAAACCATTTCAACAATAACAAAAAAAGCTGGATAAAAAATAGTTTGGCTATTTTGAACACCCGAACACTTTCAAACAATACTTATTACAATAACGATTCGACTATTTTCAACACTCGAAGAGTTTCAACAATAACAACAACCATATAACAACAGTTCGACTATTTTCAACACCCAAACTGTTTCAATAATAACAATAACTGTTCTACTATTTTCAACACCCGACCAGTTTCAACAAAAACAACAACCATATAACAACAGTTCGACTATTTTCAACACCCAAACTGTTTCAATAATAACAATAACTGTTCTACTATTTTCAACACCCGACCAGTTTTAACAAAAACAATAACACCATAACAACAGTTCGACTATTTTCAACACCCGAACAGTTTCAACAATAACAATACAACACCGATTCGACTATTTTCAACACCCGAACAGTTTCAACCGTAACAACCGTTCAACTATTTTCAACACCTAACCGATAACAAGGAGCGAGCTGTCAAAAATTGAGTTCAAGAGATTAGATAAGGGTCACGTTAGAAAGACGTGTGGTCACGTTAGAGAGACGTGTGGTCACGTTAGAAAGACGTGTGGTCACAGGTCTGTGTTGACTTAGGGAGCGTGTCTGATGGATTACCCCAATCACGTCTTCAAAGTTTAACAATGTTCCTTCAGTAATAGACACAGTTATCTGTAGGCAGTGTACCTGCCTCACACCTCAGTCGATAAAGATTGTGATATTTGTGTTGATTGGTGTAGCTTTAAAAGACGGTCTAGTTCGTTTGTGTTTTGATAGTGTCGTAACGTGGAATGTCGACATGTAATTATTTAGACTACTAAAGCAGCCACATTGTTTGAGAAAATATATTGCAAGGTAAGAAAAATATTTTATAGGATACGATAATTCATAACGATTACTAGCTTTGATATAAAAAAAAGACTTAGGTGTCAAGTATTCATGTGACCATTTACATATTACACACACACACACACACACACATATATATATATATATATATATATATATATATATATATATATATATATATATATATGTATATATATATATATATATATATATATATATATATATATATATGTATATATATATATATATATATATATATATATATATATATATATATATATATATATATACTATATCTTCATCTTGTAGTATATAATTCATCCACCCAATAATGATAAAACTGTATTTTGAAAAACAGTTCAAATAAATGAAAACTATAATTCATACGATTTTTATGACATACAATTCATCATCCATAAACACGTACCTAGTATGATTCAAGCTTAAGGCCCTGTATTTGTTATCACAGAGGAAAGAAAAGTAGCTAAATCTACAGACATTAAAATGTGTAGCTGCACTGTATCGTATTTAGGTCTCTCAGAGCTTGCAGAGGTGTATCCAGTAGCCTATCTGATATTGGATAAAACTTGGTACCATTCAACCCGGCTAATGAGCGCTCGCTGTCTTTTAAACACATTATTTCATTACTACTTCTCTGCCCTGTTGACGCAAGAGTTATCTAACGTCCCCCACAACATTGACACTCGTTACCTCCCCTTTCTTAACCGGAGCTTTTTATCTGGTGTGTTGACGGCTAACTGTGTCAGCCCATTCAGTTTGATTTACCCCTCTTGGTTATGAAGTTATACTTCTATTTTGCTAATGGTATATTTCTTCGATACCTTGTTTGATCTACAGGTAAGAACGTTTGTGTAAAAATATTCACATTGATATCTTTTGTATAATAATCGTAATAGCACAGCATAATCTTAACGTTAATTGTATTAACAGTATTTTAATTTCTACATATTTTTAGAATAATTATAAATTTAAACACATATACAATCTATGAAAAAGACTGTGTGATGGTCACACAATCATCAAATTTTTCCGTTATTACCCAAGACACACGAGTCAGTTTGTCTGTTTCAGGGATCTCGGCATATGAAGGGATCATTTGGTCAGCACTATGCCCACATTTTCTTTCCCTAACGTGAGTTAGCAACCCACCAGAGCCGGGCGACATTATACTGACTTGAACCCGGATTTAGGGTTAGCAGTCTATTTATTCTCTACCGCTAAGCCACGCTTTCCCATTATCACACAATAGCTTTCTAATACTTAATTGTTCGTCTTATCCTAATATATAAAAGCTCATGTGCGCACTTCTCTCTCTCTCTCTCTCTCTCTCTCTGTCTGTCCGCAAAATATATACACACACCCACCCATATGTATATATATATATATATATATATATATATATATATATATATATATATATATATATATATATATATATATACATATATATATATATATATATATATATATATATATATATATATTGTACTTTTAAAAATGCATTGCATATATATTCACTTCCTTTTAATATATATATATATATATATATATATATATATATATATATATATATATATATACCTACACTCTTCGATTCCTAATGTCGAGGGGGCGTTTGGGGACGCCACTGTCTTTTAAACACATTATTTCATTACTACTTCTCTGCCCTGTTGACGCAAGAGTTATCTAACGTCCCCCACAACATTGACACTCGTTACCTCCCCTTTCTTAACCGCAGCTTTTTATCTAGTGTGTTTACGGCTAACTGTGTCAGTCCATTCAGTTTGATTTACCTCTCTTGGTTATGAGGTTAAACTTCTATTTTGCTAAACGTATATTTCTTCGATACTTCGTTTGATCTACAGGTTAGAACGTTTGTGTAACAATATTCACATTGATATCTTTTGTATAATAATCGTAATAATACAGCATAATCTTAACGTTAATTTTATTAAAAGTATTTTGATTTCTACATATTTTTAGAATAATTATAAATTTAAACATATATAGGCCTATAATCTATGAAAAAGACACAGATGGTCACACAATCATCAACTTTTTCCGTTATTACCAAAGCACACGAGGCAATTGAAGTATAGTTCGTCTGTTTCAGGGATCTCGGCATATGAAGGGATAATGTGGTCAGCACTATGCCCAGCCTTATTTTCTTTCCATAACGTGAGTTAGCTAACCACTAGAGCTGGGAGAAATCAGGGACGTTCTACTGACTTGAACCCGGATTTAGGGTTAGCAGTCTATTTATTCTCTACCGCTAAGTCACGCTTTCCCATTATCATACAATAGCTTTCTTATATTTAATTGTTCTTCTTATATTTCAATATTGCAACAAGTATTCAGTTATGTGCTGATTAATATTACTAATGTATTATTTTAGCAACGCATTATATGTTGTGTTAAAGTGAAGTGTGAGGGACGGAGTGGTCGTTTGGTAGAGCGTGTTTGGCTGCTGGCCGGAAGGTTTCGAGTTTGAATCTTGATTCAGACTTGCAATTGTAAAACATGACAGCCAGCTTTGTTGGGTACCTGACTTACGTAGTTTAAAATAAAGATGGCCCAGCATAGTACTGACGACACTATCCCTTCATATTCAATAAAATGTGTAGGTCCCATCCACGTCATTTCTATTTCAACTACCAGTCATAATGTCATAACTAGCTGGCGGTCTCATTCGAAAAGTAATTAAGTCATAAATAGCTGTAGATCATATTAAAAATGTCATCAAGTCATTACTGGCTGTAGGTCTTATTGAAAAATGTCATCAAGTCATTACTGGATGTAGATCTTATTGAAAAATGTCATCAAGTCATTACTGGCTGTAGGTCCCATTCAAGCTGTCATCAGTTAGTAAGTGACTTTGTCTAAAGGTAAATAGTGTTGTAGATCCCATTTAACTACTTATCCTCCTGTAAAAAAATCCGTGCATTTTTATGGCTGACAATTCAGTGGTGTCTGTTTGCGATCTGCCATCGATATTGACTACATTCTGAAATATCACCCCCATAAATTCCCCTAACGTTTTTACAAACTCTGCTTTAATAACTGAACTGATAAGTTCACGAACTTTAGACCTACTTCACTAGCAGTATTGATTTGATAACCAGAACCCTCGCTGTTTTATTTACCTTAAGTTTGATATCAGTTAATTAACAAACATCATTACAGGTTGTTTTATAATCAACGTTTCAACTTGTTTTTTTTTTTCTGCCATAGAAGTTACATGTTAATCTTAAGACCTATAGTCTTCTCCTCATTTCATTACAATATTAGGGCCTCTACTCGATTTGTTTTAGAATAATAAACAAAGAGTTTCATTAAAACTGCTCAGGCAGAGCACTCCCACCCTCCCGGTTTAAAAAAAATGTAATTGAAATTATTTAATTTACTTAACCAGCGTCCACACTCGCCATTCCCCACAAAATTTCAAATACGTCTGCAGATTCAAGAAACACCTCCCCCTCCCAACCCTCGACCCAGGTTTTCTGAAAGAAACACTGATTAGAGACACGAGAAGTTTAAACTGTGTTTCGCCAATGCATGATTGGTCAACTAAATTTGTATATATGTTCATAAACAAGTGTAGGTTTGGCAATGTATTTCAGCACTTATACAAATAAGAGGTAAAGACACACATTACTTTTTAGAAATTCAGTGGAGACAATACTGGGATTTCTAGTTTCTATAATTTAACAGTCTGTGTTGTTTATTTCAATGTTGAGTAGATCAGTTAACATCCCTATACTACCATAATGAGACAATGGCCAAGTATAAAAATTACTTTTTGTTCTCTTTTAATGAGTGCAATATGTTTCACAAAGAAATACTTCTATCCTAAACTGTTTTCTCTGTAACGTTTATTTAACATTACATTTTAAATACATTAATATTATCTTCTAAAACTTGGTCGGCTGCATATTTAAAAAGTTCCAATCCTGAATATTTTATAAGAACTTAACAATAAGCCCCAGACTACAATAGCACCATAAAGTAAAGTATGGCAGGTGGTTTACTGCTAGCGGTGATTGATCTCGTTGTTGTCTCCCCTCACAGCGGTGTTGTGTTTTACCTTACACTGTGACTTACATAAATCACACTGTGGCCAGCGCTGTTGGCATACCTGTGCTTGGCTTTCGTTTTTGCAACAGAAAATACATGCATTACATTAACTTGAATCACACATCCTAAAATAGGAAATAACACACACACTGTATATATATATATATATATATATATATATATATATATATATATATATATATATATATATATATATATATATATATATATATATACAGGCCCCTATTTAGATATGTACATATATATATATATATATATATATATATATATATATATATATATATATATATATATATATATATATATATATATATATATATATAGATATAGATATAGATATAGATATAGATATAGATATAGATATATATACATCTTTAAATATGTATATGAATATTAATTTATATTCTTATTTGTACATTATATATATATATATATATATATATATATATATATATATATATATATATATATATATATATATATTTATATATATATATATATATATATATATATATATATACATGATGCGTGTATGTTTTTGTATGTGTGGAGAGAGAGGAAGTAAAGAAATCGGTGAGTACACAATGTTGACTAATATCAATTTATTGAACAGTTTGTTGAACTTTACAATTAGCATATGTAGAGGTAAATTTCTATTAGTAAAGTGTAGAAACTAGTCTAGCACCCTTAAGTGTGTTCAACAGCTTCAATGCGTATCTAGTCCACTAAATTATAAACATGATAGTGTGATCTATCGGTGTAAGAAGATAAACATTGGTGGTAAGATAGATCTAGTGACTGTCGCCTTGTGTTAGTTATGTATTGCGGCTGGTAAATATCATTGCTAAAACCGGTTACTCCGCGAAGATTGGAGGGGGTGAATGGGATCACTACGTTAATATATAAAAACAAGTTGTGTGTGTTTTAAGTTTGTAGTTATACATTGTAATTGATATAAAGTTAGATACACAATTCCTAATTTATTCATCAAAGAAAACACGAATTTTGATTATATTTGTATACATCTACTCTAAGATCGGTATGCTGAAGTAATGTTCTATGTTACACTATTATAATTTTAATTTTAATATGAGAACTACATGCACATGTCAAACAGTAATTGCTTATTTTAAGCAACGTCCGAGTTTACTTGCAAGATGGTGAACCACTGCCTCTGCCATTTCAATAGAAACACATAAAATGTCATACCATTGTAATTTTCAAATTTTTATTTTATTTTGCAGATTCAATCTATTTATTCAGAACTATAAAGAACCAAAGTATCCCAGTACTAGAATTACCTAAGATTGCCTTTATATTTAGACGAATTTTGTTTACGTTTAGTCAAAGAAAATTTAGCTGAAATTCTACCATGGCAAAAGAGAAAAAAGAAAAGGTAAGTCTTCAGTGTATAAGCCTACTTTGTTTCTCTGAACATTAATTGTTCACTTTTTATACACAATTATTCCCAGTTCACTTAACACATTGATAAATGAGTCGATATGTTAGTGAATGTGTATGTGTATGGGCGTGCTTTAGCCAACATATCATTTGATTTTCTTTTAGCCGGAGTCAGACGAGCGACCCAGCTGGGGACGCCATCTTGATTTCATTGTCACGTGCATTGGAAACGCCGTCGGATTGGGCAATATATGGAGGTTTCCCCATCTAGCGTACGTCAATGGAGGAGGTGGGTCCGAGTAGAGTTTATATAAATAATGTAATGGTGTGTGCAGTATATCTAATTAATGTGATGGTGTGTAAAGTATATATAAGTGATGTGATGGAGTGGGTCTACATAGAGTATATGAGTAATGTGATGCTGTAGGGTTTACATAAAGTGTATTTATGTATGAATGTATGGATGAAAGCATCATATATATAAAATATAACTGCAAGCTGCAAATTTTAAAATGCACAATTTATTTAAAGAAAACAACACTTTTGATACAAATGTCGTATTAACAAAGCATTTAATGCAAAAAACGTAATCGATATTGATGTGTTTTTAAGCATTTACTTGTTATCATTATGTCCAATTCATCATAATCTTGAATATGTGTTGCAGGGGCGTTTCTCATCCCTTACACAATCAGCCTATTTTTTATGGGCATCCCGCTTTTCTGTTTGGAATTACTGATTGGTCAGTTCACAAACGTCGGACCAATCACAATTTGGGAAATAAACATTCTTTTTAAAGGTAATCTCCTTATAATAAATTGTATAATTAACATTTTTTTAATAATAATTTAAAATAATTGAAGCCGTGTTTTACGTTAATGACAAATCTAGTAGAAGCACTGTGCAGGCTATAACATAGTGGCTTATATCATCTAGTTCTATATTGGTAGTCAAATACTCATGTAAGATGCTACTAAAAAAGATAATACGGAAACAACTTTAAGGGGAAGGCTCCGGTAAAAAAACTTTTTTAATACTCGTTAGAAAACAGTTATTTCTTTACAGCTTTATTAAGATACATCCGCATATGCATTTCCACTGAAAAAAGAAATTGAAAAATCTTGGTAACTATGACAACGGCGGCCGTCTTGGAAAATTAACCCCTTCGTAGGTTTTCCACCATTCATAAAATATTACATTTTAAACCCAATAAACAATCAATTCATAATCTTCTTCCATATTTTGGGGTAATCAGCTAAAAATTTTAAGTGCATATCTTCAAACTAATTTTTTATGAATTTTCAAAATTTGTGTCCGTTCAAAACACTAGTTTTAATGCCCCAAAATTCCCCAAAGTTAAGTGTTTTGAACGGACACATATTTTGAAAATTCATAAAAAATTAGTTTGAAGATATGCACTTAAAATTTTTAGCTGATTACCCCAAAATATGGAAGAAGATTATGAATTGATTGTTTATTGGGCTTAAAATGTAATATTTTATGAATGGTGGAAAACCTACGAAGGGGTTAATTTTCCAAGATGGCCGCCGTTGTCATCGTTACCAAGATTTTTCCACCAATTTTTTAAAGTGGAAATGCATATGCGGATATATCTTAATAAAACTATAAAGAAATAACTGTCTTCTAACGAGTATTAAAAAAGTTTTTTTTACCGGAGCCTTCCCCCTTAACTGTTCGTTGATTACATTTCGATTTATGTGGCACCCAACGGCCGACTTACCCTTTACAATCACTTGAAAATGTTGAGTTTATTGGAATTTTGACACAACTTAGCGTGAGACTATATGCAAGTATCATTTGTCTTCTTTACGTGTTTAACGCATGGCAATCAACTTTATTTCTTAATGTAAAGAATCTATGAATCACCTAACTTTATAGCTGGTTACATGAGAGCCAATGGTACAATTTCTAATGTAAGGAATTTCGACTTCACTTAAACAACAGATATTGTCACATTACCTGAATTATAGACAGCAGACTATGAGATATGCTGGAAGTTAGAAACCAATCTTGAACATATTATTTTGAAGTACGCTGTATCGCACCTAAGTAGATATTGTACCTAGATTTCATCAATTATGCTACTTCTTTAGTAGCCACAACATTGGACATTTCGGAAAAATCTTGTAGTCTATAGCATTATTTTCAACCCTTGAAACTTTTAGGACGGTATATTATGTAGTTACCAATATTTACTTACCTGTTTTATTTTGCTGGTCAATTTAGTATACTATAAGTACTGTTGTAGAGTAAACTATGTTTTTAATTAAAATTGATTATGAAGACGTTTGAAACCTTGTTATCCATCGCGACGATTTGACTTTGAGTAAGTTACTCAACATTTCCATTTCATATTCAACAACATAAGAAGTAAAATATTTTGCTAAACCTGTTGCAGAAGATTGGTTTAATTAATGCTTATTAACCAACAGAAACTCTAATATTAAAATAACCACCGGGGCAACCTTTAACCACCAAATTCCTCTGTTTGATATCAATAGAATTTTATTTGTATATATTTTCGTCAGTATTCGCCATTCCAAAACACTACTCAAAATTAGACCACCCCCCCCCCCAACCCTACACACATAGATGGTAGTACACAATGCCTCTGATGTGTGAAGACCGATTTCCTGACATCCTGGGTTATCGTAATGACCACTATGTCAAGCTGTTTTCATATCTCTCATATTCGGCCTACATTTCTTTTTATAGAACCAATTAGATACGATACCTGGAAAACCAGCTTATTTATTTATACACACAACAATCTACTTAAAATTTACTATTTACGTTTGATTTTAAAAGTTGAATATAAGTTGATGAAGCTTTAGTACGGTGTTAATAATTATACTGTCATGGGTACAGAATAATTTAAAAACAACAACATAATATAGAAAATAAAAAAACTCTATCAAATAATAATAAATTCAATTTAATGTTTCCATTAGAGATTAATTATGTTGTGAATGCGATGTAAGAAAATGTTAAAGAATTAAAGAATCAATGTTAAAATCAGCGTTTAGAGACACGTAACACACAGCATTATTTTTCTAAGACAGACACTGTTAAACTAAGACAGTGTTAAAAACAACATTCGGACAGATTTATTAACATAGGTTACAATACGTTTTAAAATACAGCTTGTTGTATTTCAGTTTCATGACCGTTATAAAAACGTGTAATAGTCATAACTGTCAATATATCGCACAGTGGCATTTATTTTTAAACGTAGATATGAAGGCCAAAGTTAGTGTTATGTGGCATATACAACCTAACTCTCACAAAGATAATAAATCTAGGACAGTGGTTCTTAAATCTGTGTATGATCAAACCCCAGGGGTTCAACGAGTCGGTATCAGGGGTTCGGCGGAGGTCAAGACACACACCAAACTCGTATAAATCATGATCGGATTTTGTAAGCGTAAATGATAGAACTATTCAGGAGGGTTCGGTGATCGAGAATTTGAAAGCAGTACTAACAACAAGATTGAGAACCACTGACCTAGGACATGCAATATTTCCCAGTGTTTTTTAACAGGACACTAGAATATTCAGGACACAAACATAACCTTGATGTTATCAACTTACTCCAAAACACCGGCTGATACTCTTATCTTATGTTGAAAAAAATGTCTAAATTCAATTTTAGAATGTCTCCCCCCCCCCCCCAACTGCATTAGAATAAGCTGATAACATGGGTGTTGTGTGTACTAAATGGGGACAGTTCATGTTTATGTTAGGGGTGTTGGGTTATATCTATGCAAATCGTGTAGCGATGTTAAGTGTAGAAACTCCAAATAGCGTAACAGTTTACATAGGCAAATATCAGCAAACAAAATGTATGAAAACGATTTTAAATAAAAATTAAATTACATTTATTTTAAATATTATACATTTTTTAGATACTGTTATATTCATTTATAACAATACTTTTATTTAATTAGGTATTTAAAACCCTCTTCACTACTGTTGCAATTCCTTAACTGATGCAAAATAAAATAATGTTTTTAATATCGTGGACATCTCATTAGTACAATAATATAATATGCTATTTATTTTTTTAAATAATAAAATAAATAAAAGCATAACAAAAAAAAAAAATATATATATATATATATATATATATATATACACATACATGCAGTGGCGTAGCGAGGTTGGGTGTCACTCGGTGCGGCACTTAATGGTGTCAACCCCCAGAGGCGGAGCGACCCTTCCCGGGGACAAACTTTCAATTTTCGATTTGCACCCCTACCCCTCAAACTTTCGATTTGCACCCCTATCCCTCAAACTTTCGATTTGCACCCCCTCCCCTCAAACTTTCGATTTGCACCTCTTAAAAGACTATTTAACACTCGAATTAATCACTTAAATAAATGGAATAATCATTTTTCTCTATATATTATGCTATTTTTTGCCTTGGTGTCACCCTCCCCCCCCCCCCTAAATGGTGTCATCCGGTGCGGTCCGCACCCCCGGCCCCCTCGCTACGCCTCTGCATACATGTATATATATAATGATATATATATATATACACACATATATATATATATATATACAATATATATATATATATATATATATATATATATATATATATATATATATATATATATATATATATATATATATATATATATATAAACACAGCAGCACATGTATAATTAGTTTATGATCATACCATTTGGCGCCTCACCCAGCACCTAAACACCCCCCTCCTCCCCAGGTCTCGGCTACACCACCGTGACCCTAGCTGCCATCATCTGCATCTACTACAACCTGGTGGTCGCCACCTCCTTCTACTACCTGTTCGCCTCCATGCAGGCCACCCTCCCCTGGTCCACCTGCGGCAACGACTGGAACACCTGCTACTGCCGCACCCCCGAGATGAACACCACCCTGGGGGACCCCATGATGTGGTACAACGCCACGAAACTCAACTGCTGTAAGTTGGGGGAGTTGGGGTCATTTACATGGGTGTGGAATCTTGTTGTGGTCATTTATATGAGTGAGAATCTTGTTGGTTGTGGTAATTTATATGAGTGTGAGAATCTTGTTGGTTGTGGTCATTTACATGAATGTGAGAATCATCTTGTGGTCATTTACGTGAGTGTGAGAATCTTGTTGATTGTGGATATTTACATGAGTGTGGGAATCGTGTTGTGGTCATTTACATGAGTGTGAGAATCTTGTTTGTTGTGGTCATTTACATTAGTGTGAGCATCGTGTTGTGGTCATTTACATGAGTGTGAGCATCGTGTTGTGGTCATTTACACGAGTGTGAGAATCTTGTTGGTTGTGGTCATTTACATGAGTGGGAGAATCTCGTTGTGGACATTTATGAGTGTGAGAATCTCGTTGTGGTCTTTTACATGTGTGATAATCTTGTTGGTTGTGGTCATTTATATGAGTGTGAGAATCTTGTTGGTTGTGGTCATTTACATAAGTGTGGGAATCTTGTTGGTTGTGGACATTTACATGAGTGTGAGAATCTTGTTGTGGTCATTTACATGAGTGTGGGAATCTTGTTGTGGTCATTTACATTAGTGTGAGAATCTTGTTGGTTGTGGACATTTATATGAGTGTGGGAATCTTGTCGTTTGTGGTGATTCATACGTTTCCTTTTCGAACTTGACTATACATGGAACGAATGAAGCAGAGTTTACCTGTTTGTATAACCCCTATGAAGGTTAATGTGGCCAGCACTATGTCCAGCAGCCTTCACTTTCCTTAACATGAAGCAGGTACCCATGAGAGCTATGTGGCCTCAGGGACGTTCTATTGACTTGAGCCCGGATCCAAACGCACGACTTTGGGTTTAAAAGTATAGCTCTCTACTGCTTGGCCACTCCGTTGTGGACTGTTGTATGGTGAATTAATGAAATCTTCTATAGGTTTACATGTTTAGAAAGGAATATTAATGCAACAGTACTGCAATTGTAAAGGTCGACTCGGTTTCTTTAATGACGGAACAAATAAACCTGTATATAAAATAGAAAGAGATAATGTATAATTTGTATAAGACTAGAGCTTGTTAACACAATATTTGGGTATTAATGTTTTATTGTTTAATATTCTGTAGAGCAGATTAGGACGTCGCATATGACATAACTATAACAATAACTTCTTCCTCTATGGTTGTTATTGAATGAATCTTGTTATTGTCACACAGCTGGTATAGAGTTCAACAAGACAGACATCAAATTATCAAGTGAGGAATACTACTAGTGAGTTATTTTCTAGATTAGGCTGCTACTCTAGAATTTACTACCTTCGATACTCACTACTGCTACTCTAGAATGTACGTCAGTCTTCTACATATATAACTGTTTTTGTGCCTTAGACTGCAATTGGTCAGTTTGCTCTGTCATGTTCGATTTAGTATTGCAGTTTTCATAATCGGCTAATGATTGCTAGTACAGATTTACAATAGTAATACTTCTTTTAGACGTGTAATTTCATTCCTTGAAGATTATGCAATATCTGTTAACGGATCATTGATGATTTGTTACACAATAAATGATGTAAAATTCTCACCGTTGTTACCATTTAAATTTATGATAACCGTAATTATAAAACAAATAGAGATACAAAATATGCATCATTGAATCTCAGATATTTGAACCATATGAAAACAATTCAAACGATTTAAAAAAAAAGCCAAATATAACAAAAATCCTAAAAAAAAATAAATTCATAAAAACGTTTTAATAACATGCTTTTATGTAACAATGCACTAAAAAGGAGAAAATAAATTATGCACTACTATTTAAATAACTATAAAGAAAAGCGTGGGTCTCTTCCTAAATATTAATAAAGGTATCCAATGGATACTAAAGTGAACCACACTTTTCTTTATAGTTATTTAAATAGTAGTGTATAATTTATTTTCTTCTTTTTAGCGCATTATTACATAAAAGCTTGTTATTAAAACGTTTTTTTTTTTATGAAAATTTTTTTTTAGTACTTTGCATGTTTTTATTTACAATAGAGTTTCATGACTAAAAACCATTGCGCACTTATTAAACGTGATGAAGCGCTATTGAACGCGATGACGCGAGTGGAGTGGTTGGATAGAACTGCCTACTAATTTGGTCCAATTTTTTATTAATTCATACACAATTAATCAGGCGACGAATTAAGTCAAATTGAATGTCATAATACATTGTCATCATGTCTTGACCCACGTACCAATTACGAACCGTATCTGTCAGTTAGAAGTGCCTGCAATTTCGCTCGGCCGTTTCCAACTAGACAGACTGACGACTGACCAGAAATGAGAAATAAAAGCTTGTAAAAAGATTGGAATCTTATGAACCTAGAATTTAATTGTTTTAAAATTTCTGTTTTTTAGAAATTTAGTTTTAGTATGAACATTTTTTTATAATATATATATATATATATATTGACTTGCAGCTCTTTACGAATTCAAACAAACAATTCCATTACTTATGTTTTTTTTTTAATTTAATTTTTATTTTAACTCATAACTCATTATGCTAGTATAAATAAAAACCAAGTTTAGTCACATAAATAATTAATATGCTAAGGGTTATCAATGTGAAATTTAGTTTTTTAATTTGAGTTTTAAAATGCATATAGTTTTAATTATAGCTCTTGTTGACTTGAATAAATATGGACGTTTTTTTTTCCCTTACAGCCGATATGTACTAGAAGCTACTGACGGTATATTTGATCTCGGTAGAGTGAAATGGGACTTAACTCTATGTAACTTGTTGGCTTGGGTCATCATATGTGCATGTTTGATCAAGGGAGTTAAGACGATGGGAAAGGTTTGGAAATCTAGTCATTGCACTATAAAGTGTTTATTTGTGTAAATTGTATAAATTTACATGACACAATTTTTTCAAATATTAAACTTGTTATTATAATTAATTAGTTTTTACCATTTGTACGCTGTCATGTAAATTAATTGCTTTAGGTATATCTACTCGACCAATCGTTTTAGTAATATAGTTCTGTTTTAAATATTTTAATTGATATCACAGCTTCAATGTTGCAACCAATCAAACTCCGAATTAGGTAATAATGTACTATTTAAACTTAAAAAAATAAAATAAAATAAAATTTAAAAAAAAATTATTTAAACAATACATTCTACCTAGAATATTATTATACTTTAATAACTTCTTTATGTGCAAATAAAAAAAACCATTACTGTAAAAAAAAATGTATTATTTAAACTAGATGACACGCGTTCCATATTGTTTTTAAAAACCCACTAGATAAATGACCACACTGAGCCCCAAGAAGAACATCTATCGCAGCCTAAAGCAAAACAAAATGTATATCTAATCAAGACCTGTATCCTACGTTTGTTCGCAAAACTTCAATCATGCAGATGGTGTTGCTTTCAGAATTTTTTCCTCGTGTCTCGAAATGTGTGTGGTGTTGGGGGGGGGGGGGGGGGGAATGGGAAGCGCACTTGAAATTTTCGAAGAGGGGCGAACTCAAAATTTGAAAGAAGGCAGATAATTATATATTTTACCTACATGTGAAATTGCATTAATCTATCTGAAACAATACTCAATCTATAGGCTTTTGTAAAATTGAAAGTATAATAAGTTCCACCTCCGGTTACCGGAAATCGATGAAAAGTTGCTACAGAGCTACACATTTAATATAATACTTATATATGAAATTTCATCAACCTAGCTGTAACGGTACTCAAGTTATCGTGTTTACAGACAAACATATACACACACAGACATACGGACACGATTGCAAAACTATGTTTTTCCGACTAAGGGGGGTGTAAAACGTCGAGATTTACAAAAATCTCGATTTTTATTTTGCACAATTACAATTCTTTCTGTATGTTTCGTATACGAGAAAGTAAAAAAAGATTAAGGAATTAAAAATAGATTAACAATATTGTCTAGAACTCGAGTTGCCGTCCCCAGTAGTGTTATATTCGAGAAAGTTTAGGGGAGATCACTCCCGGTTTACTTTGTCATATTACTCTGCCCGATAATACATAAGGCTGTCCAATAATATATTGTCATTTCTGGCAGACTATTTATGTACCATCCATCCCGCGAGACTACCTAATTAGCATATGGCATGACAGACTGACTAAGTAGCTTTCGTCTATCATGGCAGGCTGTATAAATACCTGCAGTCTCTAAACCTTTCTAACTACATGCAGTTTCTCAATAAACCTGTCTAATTACCTGCAGTGCCTAAACCTGTCTAATTACCTGAGTCTCTAAATAAACCTGTCTAATTACCTGCAGTGTCTAAACCTGTCTAATTACCTGCTGTGTCTAAATAAACCTGTCTAATTACCAGCAGTCTCTCAATAAACCTGTCTAATTACCTGCAATGCCTAAACCTGTCTAATTACCTGAGTCTCTAAATAAACCTGTCTAATTACCTGCAGTGTCTAAACCTGTCTAATTACCTGCTGTGTCTAAATAAACCTGTCTAATTACTTGCCGTCTATCATGACAGGCTGTCTACTTTTTCGCCCTGTTCCCCTACGTTCTGATGACGGTCCTGCTGGTCAGGGGCGTCACCCTGGATGGTGCCAAGAAAGGAATCGATTACTACCTGACGCCCGATACTTCCAAGCTGAAGGAAGCAAAGGTATTTATATTGTTAAACCAATATGGGAATCGATTACTACCTAACGCCCGATACATCCAAGCTGAAAGAAGCAAAGGTATTTGTATTGTTAAAAGTAACAAAGGTATTTATGTTGTTGACAGAAGCAAATGTATTTATATTGTTGACAGAAGCAAGGTATTTCTATTATTAAAAGTAGTAAAGGTACTTCTATTGTTAAAAGAAGCAATGGTATTTAAATTGTTGAAAGGTGCAAAGGTATTTATATTGTTAAGAAGATGAAATAAGCAACGGTAATTATATTGTTGAAAGAAGCAGTTGTAATTTTATTGTTAAAAGAATCAGAGGTATTTATATTATTGAAAGAAGCAAATATATGCATATTGTTGTATTGATTTTTGCTCAGAGTTATTTTGTTCATATTAATGTTCCTACCTACAACTATAAGGCTAATAAATAAGTCTCGTAGTCATTCATTAACTATTTCTTAAGTTTTGTTGCTAATTTTCGTTTAAGTTAAAATACACTTTACGTTTTCTTGTGAATTCGTATAATAAGCACGTCTTTCGAATGATTTCATAAATAAAGACTAGGAACGATAACTCTTTTAAATGATACACAGTTAAAATGAATGTGTTAATTCCCCTTCTAAAAGATCGATATAAAGTTTTCTGACAAAAATTCTCCTTTCATATACATGGATCAGACAACATCTCCAAAGTGATAGATATGTTTTCTGACATGTAATAACAAAGATGATACAACATCTTTACAATGATAGATACAATATTTTCTAACATGTCAAAACTTGGCACATACAACAGCTCCACAGGAAGTTTTCTGACATGTAAAAAAAAAACATGGACCATACAACATCTCCACAGTGAGTGATAGATATAACCATTTTTGCAGTTAAAAAACACTTATCATACAACATCTCCACAGTGAGTGATAGATATAACCATTTTTGCAGGTAAAAAACCCTTATCATACTACATCTCCACAGGTATGGAAGGCCGCAGCAGCCCAGATTTTCTTCTCCCTCAGCTGTTGTACCGGAAGTTTAGCAGCGATGTCAAGTTATAACAAATTCAATAACAACGTCCTAAGGTATAACAAATTCAATAACAACGTCCTAAGGTATAACAAATTCAATAACAACGTCCTAAGGTATAACACATTCAATAACAACGTCCTCAGGTATAACAAATTCAATAACAATGTCCAGTTACAACAAGATCAATAACAACGTCCTCAGGTATAATAAATTCAATAACAATGTCCACAGGTATAACAAATTCAATAACAATGTCCTCAGGTATAACAAATTGAATAACAATGTCCTCAGGTATAGCAAATTCAATAACAATGTCCTCAGGTTTAACAAATTCAATAACAATGTCCTCAGGTATAGCAAATTCAATAACAATGTCCTCAGGTATAACAAATTCAATGACAATGTCCTCAGGTATAACAAATTCAATAACAATGTCCTCAGGTTTAACAAATTCAATAACAATGTCCTCAGGTATAGCAAATTCAATAACAATGTCCTCAGGTATAACAAATTCAATGACAATGTCCTCAGGTATAGCAAATTCAATAACAATGTCCTCATGTATAACAAATTCAATAGCAATGTCCCCAGGTATAACAAATTCAATAACAATGTCCTCGGGTATAGCAAATTCAATAACAATGTCCTCAGGTATAACAAATTCAATAACAATGTCCAGTTACAACAAGTTCAAAAACAACGTCCTCAGGTATAACAAATTCAATAACAATGTCCTGAGGTATAACAAATTCAATAACAATGTCCTCAGGTATAGCAAATTCAATAACAATGTCCTCAGGTATAACAAATTCAATAGCAATGTCCCCAGGTATAACAAATTCAATAACAATGTCCTCAGGTATAACAAATTCAATAACAATGTCCTCAGGTATAACAAATTCAATAACAATGTCCTCAGGTATAACAAATTCAATAACAATGTCCTCAGGTATAACAAATTCAATAACAATGTCCTCAGGTATAACAAATTCAATAACAATGTCCTCAGGTCAGAGGCGTAGCGACCCTTCCCGGCACCCGGGGACAAACTTTCGATTTGCATCCCCCCCCCTCGAACTATTCATTTGCACCCCCCCCCCTCAAACTTTCAATTTGGCGCCCCCCTAGGGTCGGCGCCCGGTGACGTATGTCCCCCCCGCCCCCCCCCCCCCCTCGCTACGCCTCTGCCTCAGGTATACTACAACGATTGCTATTTTGTTAAGTTCAAAAGCTGCTGTAAGTTATGTTTATCTCGGTTCTAACCGTGTTAAATTGCGTGTATTGATACTGTTCTAATCAAATAAAACCGTAATTTATAAGTATTACCAAGTTGAACATCGCCAGATGCGTAGCGACACCTCCCGGCGCCCGGGGACAAACTTTCAATTTGGCGACCCTTCATTTATTTTTACTTTCTTGTATATACGAAGTATAGAGAAAGTATTGTAATCGTGCAAAAAAAAATCGAGATTTTTACAAATCTCGACGTTTTACATCTCACTGATACGGAAAAACATAATTTTGCAATCTTGTCCGTATGTCTGTGTGTCTGTCTGTGTGTCTGTCTGTCTGTCTGTGTGTGTGTAAACACGATAACTTGAGTACCGTTACAGCTAGGTTGATGAAATTTCATATATAAGTATTTTATCAAAATCGTAGGCCGTATCAACTTTTGAGCGATTTCTGATAACCGGAAGTGGTACTTTTCCTACTTTGAAATTGTCAAAAGCCTATAACTTGAGTACTATTTCAGATAGATATACGAAATTTCACATGTGAGTAAAAGATCTAATTTTCTACCTTCTGTTAAATTTTGAGTCATTTCCGTTTAACGGAAGTAGTAATTTACGCTACTTCCGATTTCTCAAAAAACTAATGTAAATTTTTAAAGTACTAATAATATTGCGCACTATTATGCACTTTTTTTTATTTAGCGTTCACTTGGAGTGCAATTCTTTTGTCTACCATATTTTATTCTATTTTTAAAACTTTAAATATTTAAAATGGATTAAAAATCATGTCTATAGCCCGAGTTCCCATCCCATGTTATTTTATATAAAAATATTCGAGAAAGTTTAGGGGAGATCACTCCCGGTTTATTTATGTTTGTAATTCAAAACTGAACTTTTAATTTTTTTTACAACCCATTTTGGTGCCCCTAGGGTCGGCGCCCGGGGACATATGAACCCACCCGCCCAACCATCGCTACGACTCTGAACATGGTGCTTCTATTATTCCTAACTACCAACCGTCTATCATGACAAGATGTCTACTTTTTCGCCTTGTTCATTATTAATTTATAGAAACTTAAAGATGTTTACAACAAAACTAATATATAGAGCTCTGCTAGTTAGAAAACACTGTTTTTATTTAAAACTTTATTATAACCATCTTTGACACTGAAATGTTCTGAAAGGAACGAAAACGAAAGCAGATAATGATATTGTAACGTGTTGTCTTACAGAGACAGCATAATGGTACCAATCATTAACTGCCTGACCAGCTTCTATGCCGGCTTCGCGATATTCTCAATTCTGGGATACATGGCGGAAACCACAGGGGTCGCTGTGGAGAATGTCACCACTGATGGTAGGTAGATTTGTCACCTCTGATGGTAGGTAGATGTGTTACCATGGATGGTTCGTGCATGTGTCACCACTGATGATAGTAAGATGTATTACCACTGATGGTAGCTAGCTGTGTAATCAGCGATGGTAAGTATATGTGATAGTATGTGAATATGTCACCACTGATAGTATGTGTCACCGCGAATGGTATTTGTAACATTATGTATGATATATATTAGTGTCACCACGGATGATGTTAAGGGACCACAAAAAGGGGATGATGTCTCTATAACTTTAAATAGACTATGGATGATACGCTAATCGATCACAGTAAAGATTGAAGATTTCGTTCTACAAATACGGTTATTAATTTTTTACTTTTATTTTTTTATATAGATATTTACACACACACACACACACATATATATATATATATATATATATATATATATATATATATATATATATATATATATATATATATATATATATATATATATATATATATGTATATATATATATGTATATATATATATAAATATGTGTGTGTGTGTGTATTTATATGTATATATAAAATGAACGTGTTTTGATTTTTAAACTGAAACTGTTGTAAACACTGTTTATGCCCTTAAATGTAACTCGTCATTTCCATGTTATCTCATAGGTCAAGGTCTTATTTTTGTCGCCTATCCTGAAGCGTTGTCACAACTTCCGGTTCCACAGTTGTGGTCCGTGTTCTTCTTCCTGATGTTAATCTGTCTCGGTCTGGGAACTCAGGTAGGTTGTGGTATCATTATCTACTAGTGACAGAGGTCGGCTGTAGGATTATTAACTGCTAACAATTAAATCTGTATTTAATGATACTGTAAGGAGAATAGATTTGACGTATGCTATCATTAAATACTTAGCATGACTATGATTTTTCCAGCCAACCTGCATTTAGTTGATTTGTTAGACTTTTCACAGATTCTTTACTATCTATTTTAAAGTAGACATTAATTGAAAGAATTCTAAACTGCAAGTTATTTGGATCCCTGGTTTAGGCTATAGTTCTTCCCAATTGGGTACCTGACTCACGTGAGGATAAGTAAAGGTGGCTGGACATTAAGCTTACCGCATTAGCATTTTTACAAACAGAATTTATACAGATAAATTTAACTCTATTTCGTCTTTCATATTGCCAAGTAAGTCCGTTGGCACAATTTATCTCAATTTTACTCCATTTTTAAAAAAAATAGCTTGCCTATTGTTGTCTAAAATAATATTGTTTACAATGTTACGATTATGTATTTTGTCAAACATTATGTACATGTTTTTTTTCAAATAGTTAAAACCGCTGAAGAAGCTGTATTCTGTATATGTTGTATTCATTATGAATCGATCCCATTATTTTCACATAGTTCCCCAGCGTTGAGACTGTGCTAACTGCTCTACAAGACGAATTCGCTTACTTCCGGAGGAAGAACGTCGCCATGTTGTTCCGTATTAGTGTCTGCATCATCGGCTTTTTGCTGGGGCTACCCATGACAACACAGGTACATTAGTCTAGTTGGTGTACAGGTACATTACTTTGTTTACATGTTGTTCCGTATTAGTGTCTGCATCATCGGCTTTTTGCTGGGGCTACCCATGACAACATAGGTTAGTGTAGTTGGTGTACATGTACAATAGTTTAGTTGGTGTGCAGGCACATTAGTCTAGTTTGTGTACAGGTAAATTAGTGTAGTTTGTGTACAGGTAAACTTGTACATTATGACGACAGACTTACGACAGACGAAGCATATTAAATTAAAGCTTCTAAAATGTAGTTTTTATAATTCTTGACTTAAAAACAATTATGTTATATATATATATATATATATATATATATATATATATATATATATATATATATATATATATATATATCTAATATATAAAGCTCAGTTCTGTATGTAATGCATATGTTTGTCGTTGGAATTGTATGAATTTAAGTGTTAGAAAATTATCGTGCGCATTTGTCTAAATTTATGAGCTAAAAAATTACTATTTAAAGTGTTGGGAAATCATTTTCATTTTTCAAATTATAGTAATAATTGTCGGCATGTTCATTTAACACAAGTTTAAAAAAAAATATCATCTTTTACAAAAATTCTAATTATGTCTTTATTTAGTCTTATAGCACTTACTTCCCTTTGATAAATTAGGAAAACACAATTACTTCCCTTTATAAAACCATTGCATTTTGTGGAAAAGTACTTACTTTTTAATTACTTTGTTTTGGTGTTGGGAAAAAAAAATAATTACATAATTAGTGGGGATTTATCAAGTGCAAATGTTGTAGGTATTTTACGGATAAGCTTGGAGTATTATAATTGTTCATCAAATTGAAACAGGCGCGTTCGTTTAAGTGAGTGCAAAAGACTATGAATAAGTTGGGGTACTATCGTCGTTCATTAAGCTAAAACAGGTGATTCCGCCCCGGGCGTTTATGTTCGCGTTAGTGTTTTCTTTGTGTTTAGGTGGGTTTGCGTTAGTGGTTTCGTTTTGATTTGGTTCGTTTTTGTTCTTTCTTTTTTCGTTTTTGTTTGTGTTTTTTTTGTTTGGGTTTGTATTTGTGTTTTTGGTTGGTTTTGCGTTTGGATTTGGTTTGTTTTCGTTTGCTTTTTCGTTGTTTTTTTTTTTGGTATTGGTGTTTGTGGTTGGGTTTGTTGTTAGGTTTTTGCTTTCGTTTGTATTTGTAATTGTGTTAGCGTTATGTTTGCGTTTTGTTGTTTTGGTTGGTTGTGGTTTGGGTGGGCAATGCCGGGTTTATGATGATTACTAAACACACAGGTAACGGTCTTTAACAGAAAGGTTTTTCACAGAAGCCAGAGCAGGGCCTGGCCGGGACGGCTAGTATATATATATATATATATATATATATATATATATATATATATATATATATATATATATATATTTGGAAAAAAAAGTTACTCTAAAACTTTGTAATGATAAGGTCATGACTATATCATTTAACATTTATATTGATAAACTTTAACATGTATATTGATAAACTGGTAACTCTCAATATTATCTCATAGGGCGGCACTTACCTACAAGACTTATGCGACATTTTTGTTGGGTTACCTCTACTGCTGGTGGGGTTTCTTGAGATCCTGGTCATTGTGTGGATATATGGTAGGTTGATAGGCCGATTGGTGTAAGGCCGATTAGTGTAAGGCCGATTGGTGTAAGGCCGATTGGTGTAAGGCCGATTGGTGTAATGCTGTTTTGTGTAAGGCCATTGGTGTAAGGCCATTGGTGTAAGGCCGATACTGCTGGTGGGGTTCCTTGAGATCCGTGTCATTGTGTGGATATATGGTAGGTTGATAGGCCGATTGGTGTAAGGCCGATTGGTGTAAGGCCGATTGGTGTAAGGCCGATTGGTGTAAGGCCGATTGGTGTAAGGCCGATTGGTGTAATGCTGTTTTGTGTAAGGCCATTGGTGTAAGGCCATTGGTGTAAGGCCATTGGTGTAAGGCCGATACTGCTGGTGGGGTTCCTTGAGATCCTTGTTATTGTGTGGATATATTATGGTAAGTTGATAGGCCGATTGATGTAAGGTCGATGAGTGTACATTATATAGGTTGAGTGTGTATGTATAATGCTGGTAGGGTTCCTATGGGTGTTTGTCATTGTGTGGATATACAGTACGTTGATAGGCCGATTAATGTAAGGCCCATTTATGTAAGGCCGATAGGTGTACAGTTGAGTGTGTGTATTCTGTTCGTAGGGGTCCTAAAGGTCCTCGCCATTGTTGTGATATACGGTGACCTAATTGTCGATTGATATATAGTATATCAGCTGGTATACTTTTCATAGACGGATTGTCTTACTTAATAATTGCTAAATTTTGTATAGTTCGATTGTTACACAAGTTATATATCGATATCTATACATTTTAATGACGATTTGTATCACTGTATAATGATCTAATGATTTAAGATTATATATAATCACATGTCTAAGAGATACACCAACGTCAGATTTTACTGTTGTTCACAATGGTACGTTGTCATACGGCTACAGTATGCAATATAGGGTTAATCGAGTTTTATTTTGGTTTTAAACGGTAGAGATGCACATAAGTCAGATTTTACTCTTGTCAACAATGTTAATCAAGTTTTACTTTTGGTTTTCACCACGACCAGGTGTCAAAAATTTTGCTGAGGATGTGCTGTTGATGGTTGGGGGCATCAAAAGTTCCAAATATCTTTTCTACGGCTATTTCATCTGGAACTGGGTCTTCTTCGCACCGGTGCTGATCCTGGTAGGTCTTGTGATGTTGGCGATATTAGCTAGATTTATGATAATAAAAGTAAACATTCTAATAGTGGTGATATCAGTGAGATTAATGAAGATATAAGCGACTTTTTTTTATTTCGGGTATACTAGTAAAACATGACTTTAGTCATACTAGTGAGACAATGTTTCTGATAAAAGTTTTAAAAAAGTAAAAGTTACCATTTCAAACTTGGGGTTCACGGGGCAGGTGAAGAGGACATTAACTTATTTTTGAAATCTCAGCATGTAAAGTATAGTGCGGTCAACACTAAGTCCACCCGCATTTACATTCACTAACGTGAGTCAGATACCCATCAGAATGTACTCACAAGCGGCCTACACGACAATTTTTTGTTAGCATCTGAGAGCTTTACGTTCGACCACCTTTGTTATTAAAAGTGTCTCACTAGTAGGTGACTGTAATATCAATTGATAATTACATGTCTCACTACTCTAAGACATTAACGGATGGGATTGTGTCATTTTTTTAAATTTTTATAGCCCATAGTGTTTTAATTTCTCATTGTATCTTTTACTCTTTACTCTTGACCATCATTGTATTTAATGTCTCAATGTATCATTTTAACTAGGCCATCATTGTATTGTAATGTCTTATTGTATGATTTATTGATCGGCCATCATTGTATTGTAATGTCTCAATGTATCATTTTATCTAGGCCATCATTGTATTGTAATGTCTTATTGTATGATTTATTAATCGGCCATCATTGTATTGTATTGTCTCAATGTATCATTTAATCTAGGCCATCATTGTATTGTAATGTCTCAATGTATCATTTAATCTTGGCCATCATTGAGTTTGAATGTTCCATTTTCTATTTTTTTTCTAGGCCATCATTGTATTGTAATATGTTATTGTATCATGTGCTCTAGGCGATCATAGTATTCGAATGTCTGATGTATCTTTTGTTCTAGGCGATCATAGTGTTTGAATGTATGATTGTGTCTTATGTTCTAGGGAATCATAGTGTTTGAATGATTGTATCTTATGTTCCAGGCCATCATAGTGTTTGAATGTGTCCAATACGAACCAATCACCGACGAACACTACCCCGACTGGGCTGAGGCCCTGGGGTGGTCGATTGTGGCTGCGGTCATGGTGTGGACGCCCCTGTGGTACGTGGTCAGGTTTCTTCACGAGTGGAGGAAACAAGGATTTAAACACGGAGTTAAGGTAGTTTGATTTTATAAGTGCAGAAATGTTGGATTTAAATATGAAGTTATTGTAGTTATATTTTATAAGTGCAGAAAGGCTAGATTGGTATTTCCATTTTATAAGTGCAGGAATGTTGGATTTAAACAAGGAGTTTCGAGGTTTTTGCATTTTATAGTTGGTAAAAGGTGAGATTTAAAATGGATTCAAGGTATTTCCATTGGTAAGTGTAGGTATGTAGTATTAAATTTTAATAAAGGTGTTAATGTATTTCCATTTTATAAGTGTAGAAATGTGGCATTTGTATTTTTAAGCTGTAGAAGGTATGATTTAACCACTGAGTTAAAATATTTATAAGGGGATGTATGTGGGATTTAAAAACTGAGTTAATGTATTTACATTTTATAAATGGTAGAAGTTGGGATTTATTTTTCCTGAGCAGTCGAAGATGGGATTTTATCTATGAGCTAGGTATTTTCATTTTATACTTTACGAAAGATGGAATTCACTAGTGTTAAATTATGCTGATAAAATTAATTCATTTTATCATTTTTTAAAGCAAATAATAATACATAGCAATAATATATCTAATCTTACATACATTTTGTGATAAATTATACTTATACCTAGGGTTTAAGCTAAATCTTAAAATTATCTTTGATGAAGTTTCTGTAAAACATTTTTTTCTCCATTAAAATTTTTAGCTCTTTAAAAGACTGAACCAACCAGCGCCTAGTTGGGGTCCCAAAGATCCCGAGAACAGAACCCTCGCCAGATACCAACGAAATTACCAGGAGAAACCGAAGGAGAAAGAGGCGGACGTGCAAGAGGCTGATGTTGAGCACGGCAGCAAGGAACATAAAGATTACGGACTACAGAAGGGGCAGTTTAATGCGGGTTTTACTGATGATGAGGCTAACATTGGTGTTGTACACAACGGTCATGTGACCAATGGTGGTGTTGTAGGTGATGAAAGTGGTAATGTTGTTATGACATCAAAGTTATAAAACTGAGTGTATGCTACTGATCAGGGTTAAGATTGAATAAAAAGGTTAGGTTTTTAATATTAACTCCAATACTGTCTTTGCAAGGTAGTACTATTTGTTTTCGATTTCGTATTAGTGTGTTATTTTTTATTGCATTAGAATATCTGAATTGTTCAGTTAATATGGAATATGATAATTCAGAATAAGAACTTTTGAACAAGAATTGTTTTTGCAATCTAAAAGTCATTTTAAAAATGAAATATAAACAGTAAGTATTAAACTGTATAGATTTTCTGTATATTATTTTATTAATAACTTTGAAAAATAAATATAAATATATTTTAAACTTAATTATGAATAAGCAAGTACAAATGCAATAAAAAGGCAGATTTTTAACAGATAACAGACATGTGTAAGCCATTTTAACTTCTGTTAGATCGACACACAAAAAAGAGTAAAGTGGTTTTTTAAAGGCATTTTCGTACACTACATTTTTGTATCGCCCGGGCAGAAGTTAATTTTCATTAATTCTAGTTATAGTGAACATTTTTGATACATGTACTGCCATCTACAAGTTTGATCTTTTTTTTACACTGCCTTTATCATTCAGCAAAAAATAATGGTCGATGTTATACTTGTATTGTGTTGTCACACATTGAACACAAACAAAATTAGTCATGTTTAACTGTTAACTTTTATAAATTAATTTAATTTTATATGGTATTTTATTTTGCACCACAGCTGTTTAAATTTGTAGATACAATTCATTTAATAATAACTACCTGAATCAATATTAAATATAAACGTAGAATTAAAGTTATTTCAACCTAAAAAATGAACGATGAAAAAAACTAACTTGAAAAATTATGTGTTTATTTGACTTTTTGTATTTTCCCTCGGCAGTATGAAATAGCTGTATTACTAGAAATACATCCATTTCAATAAGGATAATTTTAAAATGTTGCCTTTTATTATTGTATGCGACATTATTTGCAACATAAGAAGCCTAAACGTGTTAATAAATTGTTACTTATACATATTATCGAAGCATTAGAAATGCATATACGTATTTACTATTTTAAGAATGCATCCAATGTTTTACTTGTTTCAATAATATTGTATTATTAATATAAATGTATCCATGTATATAGATAGGCCTATACATTTTTATACTTTTAAGTTGAAATCAATATAGGCCTTCAGATAAGCTCAAATATATTATTACTTTACTAATTTCATATGCATTAAAATACACATGTATTTTTTTAAAACACTTTTACATTTTTTTTTAAATGAGTGTTATGAATTCGTAGCAATATTAAGTTCGTTGCTAAGTATACTGTACATGTATATATTTAATTATATGATTTTATTATATCCGTCAAATAGCTAGAAATCAAAATTGTAACAAGACCGGCTATTATGTCACTAAATTCTCTCAATGTAGAAAACATAACGTCAAAAACTGTAGGTTACATATATATATATATTTATAACAAGGACATATTTGTTGAGTGATTTAACACAAGATTGTCAGATTGAACTTAAAGAGTGTAGCTCAACATACTTCAAAGGGAGCGAACTATGTCTTTCCTGTGCTATAGCATGTTTAAAGTAGCGCCTCTTTATTTTGTAAGCCGTTCACATCTCTATGTAAACAAAGTTGAATTGAACACGTGGTTACTGAAGACTGAATAGCAACTAGAAAGCTCAAAAAATATTATTCAGACTTCAAAGCTGCATTTAATATTTGCGCCATTTCTATTCTAAAAAAAAATTCCCAACAACATTAATAATGGTAGGTTAAATACGGTTTAATAATTTAAAACGCTATCTATTTCAATGTCTGAAAAAGTGGATAACCAACTCTACCGTTTATTTCGTTTTCTTGCAGGAGACGGAAAAGCCGACCCTACCTAGAGCCACCCCGTTTTCTAGCAAGTTAACCCCCCCAACACACACACATACACACATACTCTGACACGAACTTAATTTGTCTGACCTTAATTAATCCATGCACTAGTTTGAACTGAGATACTGTTTTGAATTACCATAGAGTTAAAGTATGTAAAGGGGTCTGATTTGTCGAGTCGGTAAAACGCATGGCGGCTAAACCTTTAAGTCACAAGCCCTAAACCCCCAGTTTAGATGGGGACAGTAACTCTGCTAGGAGAGACAACTCCAAATTGAAACAAATAATCTTGACTTGCGGTTTGTTCTAGGTTAGACAAAGAAAAACAGGCTGAAATTAGAATCAATGCCCTACATTGCGCATAAAAATTTCATTGAGTTATCATCCAATGATCTAATAGAAAATAGTCATACTTTTTACATTCACCTATTCTGTTTTAAATAAGTGCTTAATCTCGGATGAGTACCTCATCTATATTTATGACATCTGTATATATTATAATATTGTGCTCTGTTCTACACCAACGTTGTTCTCTTATTTACAATCTCACGTATCTACTCGTATAATTTAGCCCATGTTCTGTATCTTAATTCTTCATTAGATTTCAGGCTAGATCAGGGGTGGGCAAACTTTTGAGACGGAAGAGCCAAAAGTTACAATTTACAAAATTTCCAGTTTGTTAAGAGCCACTAACATTTTTATTTCAATATTTGGTATTTGATTTGGATTATGTAAATAAGTTTAATTTCTTTATTTAAAATAAATAGCTTTAAATATGAAATAATATTTATTCATATAAAATGATACAGATGTTTCGCACAAAACATATTAGATTATTTTAGCTAGCTCTGATATGATAAACTTAGATATCAAATAATAAAACTATAGGACTATCCCAATCCAATTGAGAAGCTGTTAACTTTTTTTTTCTTTACTGACATCACCGGCTCAGGAGGTGTCTCCCATTAGCCACGCAGCCCTCAACACGGCAAACTCCGACTAACTGGCTTGGACGTCGGTTTGATTACCATGTCTCGGTCCCTTCTGTCCTTCGGTTCTCACCAGACTTATCTTCCACCCCAAAGAACCTTGGGTAAACTCGTAACCCACAGTCCAGTACCTGGCTCAACAGTAGAAGGCTAATAGTTAAAAAACTACGTCACTCAGGTCTAATTAATAATTACTCAAGATATGTAAATGCATTCAGAATAAAATAACACGAGCCGACCCGCGGTGTATCATACGCCGCTATTTAGTTGTTTTTTCTACTTTTCAGTAATTCATAATTTGTGAATTCGATAGTACCAATGCTGCCACTGAAAATATTTGCTTTAAAACACTAATTCCCCCCCCCCCCCCCCCCCGTGAAAGCAGCCTCCTCTAAGTTACCTCCTCTAAGTTTAAAATCGTTTCAAACTAAATTATCTGCCCCTAATAGCCGTCACCAAACTCGGCTCTACGATTTGTAAACATTTAGCGTGAACCACAGCTCACCAAACCATTTGAGGGGGGGGGGGGGGGTAGCGATAGAGAGAAAGAGAGGGGACTGCAAGGCGCGCTTGCAGCTTGTTTTCTAACTGATCCCAGAAGAGAATTATATATATAGATTCTCCATTTAACGGTTGTGCCCAAGCGGCTGTCAGCTGTCCGAATACTCTCTACTCCCACCTATTCTCATTGTTCGCTGATTAGTGTTTTTATTATGTTTAAAGTTGTGTTTCTTTACAATATAATATTTGTTATGGGTTTTGAAATTAAAATAATACAAACATTTCTAATATTTGTGCATGGAACTCGAGAGCCGCCACTTGACATCGAATGAGCCGCATGTGGCTAAGGAGCCGCAGGTTGCCAACCCTTGGGCTAGATAAATATAATTTTTTTTTTTGATAATTACTTTTACATTTATTTGACATGCATACTCTACATAACAAAGGGGAAGTGAATACCATTTAGCATAGTTGGACAAATTACTTTAACTATTTTCTTCTATAGATTTCAAATTTAAAAATAGAATAAACAATTAGGCCTACAAAATTAATAAATATATTAATTTCAGTTATGTTGAATATCGAATCTTGTTTTTTTTCTTTATAAAGAGTCATAGTTTAAAAAAAAAGTCTACGCTACAGATGTGTTGCAATAATAAATATTTCTTGATTCATAGTCTCTCCGGTGAGTTTGTTCATATTTTCCTCGCTATTTAAACAAGTGGAGCTAGTGTTATCTTTTGAGTTTACATTTTGTAGACTAAATCTGGTATTTAGTTTGCCGTTGCTCATATCTTTAATTTCCGTATTTTTAAATATTTTATTCGACTTGAATTCTCAAGTCTCTAGATAATTGTTGGGGAAAGTAAGTTGGAAGTCAATTTAAATTTTCTATTAATGTAGTGAAAATGTTTTAAGTAATGCATAGGTTCCCACAATAAAACATAGTGTAATAATTTATTCAAATAACGGTATAATAATTTAATAGATTTATTTTTAATATATAATAAATGATAAAATTACAATTTACAATTTACGGTACGTCGTTTTAAAAATAACACAATATTTGGTAAAAAAATGTTTTTAATTTAAAATATTGTTACTTGAATGCTGATTACGTGGATTAACTTCACAAAAGTTAAGAACAGGAACATTCGCACTAGAATAAAATTTTGCGTGTGATGGTGTGAACTATTCTTGCTGAAATTTGAAGTAGTAACAAAATATTCAGTCGGGATTTTACTTGAGCACTATGGTAGCTACGTTCGTGTCAGAGACTGTCATGCATTAGGGACACGGTGGGATACTACATTCGTTAACCAAATCAGGCGCGTCAGTTGTAACTCTAACGGTGGTATGACCTGTAGCGTCCCGTGCTCTCTAACGAGCACTAAATTTTATACATTTGTTTTAAAGAGCACACTTTATCATGCACACGGCGGAACACTACATGTGATGACTTATCCGAACCAGGGGACGGGCCCGGCACCCATGCGGCAATATAAGCGAAGGCTCATAAGAGTGCCCATTGACGAACTGGCTACAGGACATTAACCCCCCCTCCCCCGGAAATTACCACCCACCTGGACATTTCTCCCAATCCCCCCTCCCCGGAGAAATTACCCCTCTGTCAAATATCCCCCGGGGAATTACCCCCACTCTCAAGTTAGAATCCTAACTCTAACTAGAATGCTATATCTATATATTACTTTAATACTAACCTTAAGAAAAAGACCAAAATCTTAACCCTTATAACCCCTATTCTTATAATCCCAATTCTTATAACCCCAATTCTTATAAGCCCTATTCTTATAAACCCTATTCTTATAAACCCTATCTTATAATCCTTATTCTTATAAACCCTATTCTTATAAACCCTATTCTTATAAACCCTCTTCCTATAAACCCAATTCTTAAAAACCCTATTCTTATAAACCCTATCCTTATAACCCCTACTCTTATAACCCCTATTCTTATAACCCCTATTCTTATAAACCCTATCCTTATAACCCCTGCTCTTATAACCCCTACTCTTATTACCCCCAATCTTATAACCCCTATTCTTATAACACGAATCCTTATAACCCTTATCCTTATAACCCTTATTCTTGTAACCCCTATCCTTATAACCCCTATCCTTATAACCCTATTCTTATAAACCATATTCTTTCGAACTTTAGCGACTATGAATGTTTTGGCTTAAGCTTGGGTTTAAACCTCGCCAGTCAGCACGAATGTAATTCCCCAATCCTGTTGTGTAGACTTTGGTTCACGAAAGATTCATTGTGATTGTTTACTGGACTGGTAATGTCAATGTGACTTGCTGCAAATTTTGTTTTTTTTAACGCTCAATCTCATTGCTCTAGTCTGTATACAAATTAAGGTTAGGATTTGTTTTTTAGGTGGAGAATAAAGCTTTACATCGACGTCTCTCATTGGACGAGCGGCGACCAATGAAATGGTCATTAAAAATGTTTAACATATGCAGTTTGCTTTTGTCATTATACACTTATAGACTTCCTGATTCAGACAAACAAAAATCAAATTACAGTACTTGTGAGCATTGGCAGGATTAAAAAAAACAAACCCTTCCAGGTTTTTATTCAAGCATGAACAAGCAAGTAAACCGGTTAGCAGGCGGATGTTGGTGACGCAGTAGAGCTGGCGTCACAGTCTGCTGTCAAAGACGCAACGACAAATACCTGGCTCAGGACAAACTGGTTGGAGTCGAAAGAGCCGGCGCCATTATTATTTATTTTTTTATTTTTAAAAATGTCAACTTCAACCTTGGCTTGGATTACTTGTAGTCACGTGATCAGATGACCTTCATATGGGTCAAATGATGACGAGACAGTTTCCATCCACGGCGTTTAACCCGTTCGACGAATTGTGTTCAAGTCGGAAAACAATTTAAAAAAAATAAATACTGACGTAGTAATCTTGTAACAATTCATACACTGCGTCTACAATGTTTCTCGTGTTGTATGTAGTTGACAACAACCTCATTCCACGCGTATTTATTTTTCGCATTTAAGTTTTCTAAAAGTTTCATTCGTAGAAACATTTTTATAAACTAAACATGCATTATAACCACCATCGTTTGAAAAATATAAGTTATTAATAGTTGCAGAAAAATATATCAAACTCACTTAATTAAACAGACTACTAAGTAAAACGTTTATATAATGGCTCTAATATATTGTATAAAATAAATTAAAATAAGTTAATCTAGTTATTTAGTACATTATCGTGTATTTTAACAATCAGACTATTTGTATTTTGCGAACTATACCTAAATTTAAGATAGGTTTGTAATGAAACAGTTTGTAAATACAAAACAAAGACAACAAAACCGGCTGTGTAGAAAATATGTTTAGTAAATATTGTTATACAATAAATAACAAGATGTTAATATATTTATTTATTTTTATTTATTGTTTATACTAAAGTCTGTTTAACCAGATGTATGCTTATACAAATGTATTTTTATAATTATGTATATACAGTGATAAAAATTCCCTTCATTTTATATGTAGTTATACCTCTAGTCTTTTCGTTATTTTAATCTTAAATGTATCACTTTTAATTAAAAATTAGAGTGTGTGTATATTACAACTAAATGTTTTTGCTGAGATGCCGGACTGCGTTTGTATGACATCGCCGTGTCCACTTGCGTAGCCAGGAATTGGTCATAGGAGGGGTTCAAAAATGGGGGTCCATGGGAGGTTATATAAACCCCAACCCCACCCCACCCCCCTTGCCTACGCCACTGGCTGTGTTCACATAATTAATGAGTACCTGACTCACGTTAGATAAATGAAATCAAAGCTAGCAGTAAAACTGACCACATTGTCAGTTAATATTTAACTTTTTTTCATTAGCCCTTCGTGAAATGCTGGGCTAAATCTGAACCCCCAACCCACCCACCTAATTCGGAAATTCCCTCGTGTCGTGTGATCTGAAGACCTAAGCTACACTGTATGGATCGAGTTATATATTTTAAAAAATGTAGCGCCATAAATGGGCATTTTCACAGACATTCTACCAGTCCATGATAAACCCTATACCATTGGTCGAACGTAGGACAAATCAAATCTTAAATTCGCAAATTAAAGAGATTAATAACAAAAACAAAAATTACGAAGTTTCCCACGAGGGGTAACTTCCTCAATAATCTGTATATAAGCTGGCCAGTATTCAGTGTCAGGTACCCGGTGCGGCAGAGCTGTTCAACACATTTGCTTGCAATCTTATTGGTAAAATCCTTTTTATATATATATATATATATATATATATATATATATATATATATATATATATATATATATATATATATATATATATATATATATATACATGTATTATATATGCCATTCAAGTTTATTATTATTTATTTTGTGTATTGTGCGCTTTTTTAGTGCATCAACTGTTTTTAATTCTTTGAATCCCAACGTTTAAATTTTTGGATTGGTGTTAATGAATTTATTTCAGGACCAACTTACTGTATTTGTGTGCTTATATAAATAGAGACATATTTAATGTCAACGTATTTTTGCATCACCTAGTTTTGTCTAGAATGTATTTTAATGTGCTAAATGGTATCTTGAAATGCATTCAAAATTCTATTTATTTTTTTATATTTTTTTAAATTTCAGTATCCAACAAACGAGAATGATGCGAATTGTTGTATCATTGGCTGTTATCCTGTGTGTTGTACTTCACAGTACAAATGGCAAGTGCCTTTGATAGTTATGCATTTGATTTTTTTCTAATTAAGTTAAACTGTAAGGTAGATTGTTTTGTTTCATTTGAAAAAATTATAATCATAGAATAATTTTCAAATATATTTATTAGAGTTTGCACCATCTATAAAGTTATTTGTGTAATTTTAAAAAGAACACTAAAATGACTGAATTTTATAACATATTTTAGACACTGTTCACCTACGTATAATTTGATGTAATTTAAATGATGTATACAATTTCAGCTCAATCCTACGTTGTGGAGGTGTATGTGGCAGTTGAAAACAAAATAACAACAACGTAAGTACAATTATTTTCTTAAAATTATATATCACATTGCAAAATATGCCCCGATTTTATAACAATCGTCTTCAGATGCAACCTTGTCGTACCCGTCTATCTTCTAAATATGTTAGTAAGAATCCGTTCTTTACCTTGCGGACTATCATCGTCGTGTATACCGGCCTTATCTTCACTATAATGGAAGAAAATATAATTTTAGATTAAAATTAACCTTCTTTAAGGTACAAAATTGTTAAGTTCGTTGTTTAATTACATCTGTAGGCTTTGTCCAGTCGGTCTTTCGGGTTTCAGCCGCATGTATCTCGTTCTTATATCCATACAAGTTTTAGATTCTGTCGGTCATTTGTTCATGTCCGGTTTTTTGTCTATGTCGGCCTTTTGGATCTCTTTTCAGCTTGCATAATACAAAGTTGTTTCCCCTTACATATACCGTGTATGTTTCATGTAACAAAGACTCGTGCTCATTAATCCTAGAAGCCGGACCGTCTTAACTGTTAGGCGTCGTACGCATTGTGAATAGAGCCTACGAACTTTACGGCCTACGAACTTTACGGCCTACGAACTTTACGGCCTACGAACTTTACGGCCTACGAACTTTACAGCCTACGAACTTTAGGTCCTACGAACTTTACGGCCTACGAACTTTACGGCCTACGAACTTTACGGCCTACGAACTTTACGGCCTACGAACTTTACAGCCTACGAACTTTAGGTCCTACGAACTTTACGGCCTACGAACTTTAGGCCCTACGAACTTTAGGGCCTAAGAACTTTACGGCCTACGAACTTTACGACCTACGAACTTTACGGCCTACGAACTTTACGGCCTACGAACTTTAGGGCCTAAGAACTTTAGGTCCTACGAACTTTAGGGCCTACGAACTTTACGGCCTACGAACTTTAGGCCCTACGAACTTTACGGCCTACGAACTTTAGGGCCTAAGAACTTTAGGTCCTACGAACTTTAGGGCCTACGAACTTTAGGTCCTAAGAACTTTACGGCCTACGAACTTTACGGCCTACGAACTTTAGGGCCTAAGAACTTTAGGTCCTACGAACTTTAGGGCCTACGAACTTTACGGCCTACGAACTTTAGGGCCTAAGAACTTTAGGTCCTACGAACTTTAGGGCCTACGAACTTTACGGCCTACGAACTTTAGGCCCTACGAACTTTACGGCCTACGAACTTTAGGGCCTAAGAACTTTAGGTCCTACGAACTTTAGGACCTACGAACTTTAGGTCCTAAGAACTTTACGGCCTACGAACTTTACGGCCTACGAACTTTAGGGCCTAAGAACTTTAGGTCCTACGAACTTTAGGGCCTACGAACTTTACGGCCTACGAACTTTACGGCCTACGAACTTTACGGCCTACGAACTTTACAGCCTACGAACTTTACGGCCTACGAACTTTACGGCCTACGAACATTACGGCCTACGAACTTTACGGCCTACGAACTTTACGGCCTACGAACTTTACGGCCTACGAACTTTACGGCCTACGAACTTTACGGCCTACGAACTTTACGGCCTACGAATTTTACGGCCTACGAACTTTACGGCCTAAGAACTTTAGGTCCTACGAACTTTAGTGCCTAAGAACTTTAGGTCCTACGAACTTTGGGGCCTAAGAACTTTACGGCCTACGAACTTTACGGCCTACGAACTTTACGGCCTACGAACTTTAGGGCCTACGAACTTTGGGGCCTACGAACTTTGGGGCCTACGAACTTTAGGGCCTACGAACTTTAGGGCCTACGAACTTTGGGCCTACGATATTTGGGGCCTAAGAACTTTAGGGCCTACGAACTTTACGGTCTACGAACTTTAGGGCCTACGAACTTTAGGGCCTACGAACTTTGGGGCATACGAACTTTGGGGCCTAAGAACTTTAGGACCTAAGAACTTTAGGTCCTACGAACTTTAGGGCCTACGAACTTTACGGCCTACGAACTTTAGGTCCTAAGAACTTTACGGCCTACGAACTTTACGGCCTACGAACTTTAGGGCCTAAGAACTTTAGGTCCTACGAACTTTAGGCCTACGAACTTTACGGCCTACGAACTTTACGGCCTACGAACTTTACGGCCTACGAACTTTAGGTCCTTAGAACTTTAGGTCCTACGAACTTTACGGCCTACGAACTTTACGGCCTACGAACTTTACGGCCTACGAACTTTAGGTCCTTAGAACTTTAGGTCCTACGAACTTTACGGCCTACGAACTTTACGGCCTACGAACTTTACGGCCTACGAACTTTAGGGCCTAAGAACTTTAGGTCCTACGAACTTTGGGGCCTAAGAACTTTACGGCCTACGAACTTTACGGCCTACGAACTTTACGGCCTACGAACTTTACGGCCTACGAACTTTACGGCCTACGAACTTTAGGTCCTAAGAACTTCACGGCCTACGAACTTTACGGCCTACGAACTTTAGGGCCTAAGAACTTTAGGTCCTACGAACTTTAGGGCCTACGAACTTTACGGCCTACGAACTTTACGGCCTACGAACTTTACGGCCTACGAACTTTAGGGCCTAAGAACTTTAGGTCCTACGAACTTTACGGCCTACGAACTTTACGGCCTACGAACTTTACGGCCTACGAACTTTACGGCCTACGAACTTCACAGCCTACGAACTTTACGGCCTACGAACTTTAGGGCCTACGAACTTTACGGCCTACGAACTTTACGGCCTACGAACTTTACGGCCTACGAACTTTACGGCCTACGAACTTTACGGCCTACGAACTTTACGGCCTACGAACTTTACGGCCTAAGAACTTTAGGTTCTTCGAACTTTAGGGCCTAAGAACTTTAGGTCCTACGAACTTTGGGGCCTAAGAACTTTACGGCCTACGAACTTTACGGCCTACGAACTTTACGGCCTACGAACTTTAGGGCCTACGAACTTTGGGGCCTACGAACTTTGGGGCCTAAGAACTTTAGGGCCTACGAACTTTAGGGCCTACGAACTTTAGGGCCTACGAACTTTAGGGCCTACGAACTTTGGGGCCTACGATATTTGGGGCCTAAGAACTTTAGGGCCTACGAACTTTACGGTCTACGAACTTTAGGGCCTACGAACTTTAGGGCCTACGAACTTTGGGGCCTACGAACTTTGGGGCCTAAGAACTTTAGGGCCTACGAACTTTACGGCCTACGAACTTTAGGTCCTAAGAACTTTACGGCCTACGAACTTTACGGCCTACGAACTTTAGGGCCTAAGAACTTTAGGTCCTACGAACTTTAGGCCTACGAACTTTACGGCCTACGAACTTTACGGCCTACGAACTTTAGTGCCTAAGAACTTTAGGTCCTACGAACTTTGGGGCCTAAGAACTTTACGGCCTACGAACTTTACGGCCTACGAACTTTACGGCCTACGAACTTTAGGGCCTACGAACTTTGGGGCCTACGAACTTTGGGGCCTACGAACTTTAGGGCCTACGAACTTTAGGGCCTACGAACTTTGGGCCTACGATATTTGGGGCCTAAGAACTTTAGGGCCTACGAACTTTACGGTCTACGAACTTTAGGGCCTACGAACTTTAGGGCCTACGAACTTTGGGGCATACGAACTTTGGGGCCTAAGAACTTTAGGACCTAAGAACTTTAGGTCCTACGAACTTTAGGGCCTACGAACTTTACGGCCTACGAACTTTAGGTCCTAAGAACTTTACGGCCTACGAACTTTACGGCCTACGAACTTTAGGGCCTAAGAACTTTAGGTCCTACGAACTTTAGGCCTACGAACTTTACGGCCTACGAACTTTACGGCCTACGAACTTTACGGCCTACGAACTTTAGGTCCTTAGAACTTTAGGTCCTACGAACTTTACGGCCTACGAACTTTACGGCCTACGAACTTTACGGCCTACGAACTTTAGGTCCTTAGAACTTTAGGTCCTACGAACTTTACGGCCTACGAACTTTACGGCCTACGAACTTTACGGCCTACGAACTTTAGGGCCTAAGAACTTTAGGTCCTACGAACTTTGGGGCCTAAGAACTTTACGGCCTACGAACTTTACGGCCTACGAACTTTACGGCCTACGAACTTTACGGCCTACGAACTTTACGGCCTACGAACTTTAGGTCCTAAGAACTTCACGGCCTACGAACTTTACGGCCTACGAACTTTAGGGCCTAAGAACTTTAGGTCCTACGAACTTTAGGGCCTACGAACTTTACGGCCTACGAACTTTACGGCCTACGAACTTTACGGCCTACGAACTTTAGGGCCTAAGAACTTTAGGTCCTACGAACTTTACGGCCTACGAACTTTACGGCCTACGAACTTTACGGCCTACGAACTTTACGGCCTACGAACTTCACAGCCTACGAACTTTACGGCCTACGAACTTTAGGGCCTACGAACTTTACGGCCTACGAACTTTACGGCCTACGAACTTTACGGCCTACGAACTTTACGGCCTACGAACTTTACGGCCTACGAACTTTACGGCCTACGAACTTTACGGCCTAAGAACTTTAGGTTCTTCGAACTTTAGGGCCTAAGAACTTTAGGTCCTACGAACTTTGGGGCCTAAGAACTTTACGGCCTACGAACTTTACGGCCTACGAACTTTACGGCCTACGAACTTTAGGGCCTACGAACTTTGGGGCCTACGAACTTTGGGGCCTAAGAACTTTAGGGCCTACGAACTTTAGGGCCTACGAACTTTAGGGCCTACGAACTTTAGGGCCTACGAACTTTGGGGCCTACGATATTTGGGGCCTAAGAACTTTAGGGCCTACGAACTTTACGGTCTACGAACTTTAGGGCCTACGAACTTTAGGGCCTACGAACTTTGGGGCCTACGAACTTTGGGGCCTAAGAACTTTAGGGCCTACGAACTTTACGGCCTACGAACTTTAGGTCCTAAGAACTTTACGGCCTACGAACTTTACGGCCTACGAACTTTAGGGCCTAAGAACTTTAGGTCCTACGAACTTTAGGCCTACGAACTTTACGGCCTACGAACTTTACGGCCTACGAACTTTACGGCCTACGAACTTTAGGGCCTAAGAACTTTAGGTCCTACGAACTTTACGGCCTACGAACTTTACGGCCTACGAACTTTACGGCCTACGAACTTTAGGGCCTAAGAACTTTAGGTCCTACGAACTTTGGGGCCTAAGAACTTTACGGCCTACGAACTTTACGGCCTACGAACTTTACGGCCTACGAACTTTACGGCCTACGAACTTTACGGCCTACGAACTTTAGGTCCTAAGAACTTCACGGCCTACGAACTTTACGGCCTACGAACTTTAGGGCCTAAGAACTTTAGGTCCTACGAACTTTAGGGCCTACGAACTTTACGGCCTACGAACTTTACGGCCTACGAACTTTACGGCCTACGAACTTTAGGGCCTAAGAACTTTAGGTCCTACGAACTTTACGGCCTACGAACTTTACGGCCGACGAACTTTACGGCCTACGAACTTTACGGCCTACGAACTTCACAGCCTACGAACTTTACGGCCTACGAACTTTAGGGCCTACGAACTTTACGGCCTACGAACTTTACGGCCTACGAACTTTACGGCCTACGAACTTTACGGCCTACGAACTTTACGGCCTACGAACTTTACGGCCTACGAACTTTACGGCCTAAGAACTTTAGGTCCTACGAACTTTAGGGCCTAAGAACTTTAGGTCCTACGAACTTTGGGGCCTAAGAACTTTACGGCCTACGAACTTTACGGCCTACGAACTTTACGGCCTACGAACTTTAGGGCCTACGAACTTTGGGGCCTACGAACTTTGGGGCCTAAGAACTTTAGGGCCTACGAACTTTAGGGCCTACGAACTTTAGGGCCTACGAACTTTAGGGCCTACGAACTTTGGGGCCTACGATATTTGGGGCCTAAGAACTTTAGGGCCTACGAACTTTACGGTCTACGAACTTTAGGGCCTACGAACTTTAGGGCCTACGAACTTTGGGGCCTACGAACTTTGGGGCCTAAGAACTTTAGGGCCTACGAACTTTAGGGCCTACGAACTTTGGGGCCTACGAAAGTCAGAAAACGAATGAGTGAAAGGCAAAAAGTAAAAAGAAAAAAAACGTTTTTGACTTAATTAAGAATTGTCCGCCTGATTTACATTTACATTACCTGTATTACGGATCACTGCCGCAGGTGTCATCTGGGCCTGGGAACGCGGAAAGTACCGAGTGCCTGCAAAGATCTTAATAAACCGACATTGTTAGGAAGCTTACACACGCACAATTGTGTGCAACGTTTTCTTACATTTACCATTTTTGTTTAACCTTATATTGATCAGCTACATGAACTACGTGCCGACGACATATACTGGCAACAAAAGACAACTGGCTCAAGACAACATTAGCAAAGATGTGCAGTACGCCTTGGCTGAGGTATGGCGTTGTAATATTGTAATATAGTATTTAAAACATACTTACACACACACACACACATATATATATATATATATATATATATATATATATATATATATATATATATATATATATATATATATATATATATATATATATATATATATATATATAAACGTATTATATAGGCCAATATATATTTATTTATATTTTATTTTAAGGTGAACAAGCTTTTGTCTACCTTGAGTCTCTATGGATTAAACGTTGACCTACGTTTACGTAAACTTGACTTTTTGGTAAATGTCCCTTGATAATTAATAGGCTACTTATCTTAGCTCTACAGTCATGGAACGCTATACTGTTTCATCACTTAATTTCTTTTAAACCATTCTACATTCTATTAAATAATTTTATTATACATAACTAATCCGTTAAACATGTTCAGTTTTACTTTTTTCTTAAATTAATATTGGGCACTTCTTTACTGGTTCTAAGTTTTCAGTCTAAATATGTTTCTATGACTCTACAGACGACTGATGTACTCACCACCTACATGACCGGCACCACCAACACCGTCAACAGCGCCTCTGGTAAAATCACCTTCCAGACCTGGCTCCTACAGACTGCCGCCTTCACCACCTACAGCTACGATTTTGCTCTGCTGCTTACTGGGTAAGTACACTACGTTAGTGGGTGTGTTGGTGCGCAGCTTAGAAGTGACGTCTCACACACTGAAAGAGAGGGGTGGGGGGCTGGGAGACGTTACGGAATTTGTGACAAAGTGGGAGCGGACAATTGTGTCAGACTTTGTGATTGGAAGTCGGCGTGTTCGCTTCGTTAAAGCGTGGGCCTCTTCCTAAATATTAGTAAAGGTATCCAATAAATACTAAAGTGACCCACGCTTTTCTTTATAGTTATTTAAATAGTAGTCTATAATTTATTTTCTACTTTCTAGTGCATAAGTACATAAAAGCTTGCTATTAAAACGTTTTTTATGAAACATTTGTAATTACTTAAACTTTGTATGATAGAATAGAATCTCGTAAAAAAAAATGCACACCAAGGAATCGCCAAATAAAATGTGCATAATAGTGCGGAATATTATTAGTACTTTATAAATCACACGCGTTTTTTTTTTAGAATTCTGAAATAGCGTAAATTACTACTTCCGGTCAACTGAAGTTTGATAGAAGGCAGAGAATTAGAACTTTTACTTACATGTGAAATTTCATTTATCTATCTAAAATAGTACTCAAGTTATAGGCTTTTGAAAAATTCAAAGTAGAACATGTTCCACTTGCGGTTATTGGAAATCGCTGAAAATGTGTTACAAATCTACGATTTTTATATAATACTTTTATATGAAATTTCATCAACCTAGCTGTAACGGTACTCAAGTTATCGTGTTTACACACACACAGACACATAGACACACAGACATACGAACAAGATTGCAAAACTATGTTTATTTGCGACTCAGGGAGCTGTAACGTCGAGATTTGCAAAAATCTCGATTTTTTTTTTGCACGATTACAAGACTTTCTCTATACTTCGTTTATATGAGAAAGTAAAAAGAAGCGCATTAGGACTTAAGATTTAAAAAATAGATTATCACTTGCGAAGGTAGAGGGTGGATTGGATTGATACGTCACTTTAAGCAGGGAGAGGGTTGGGTAGGGGGCGGGGGTCGTAAGATTTTGTGACAATCTATATATGTAATTCTCTTCTTGGAGACCCTAGAAAACACCAGGCTGTAAGCGCGCCTATCAGTCCCCTCTATTCCTCTGTACGCATATCGCTACCACCCCCATCCCCACATGGTCTGGTGAGCTGTGGTTCACGCTAAATGTTTACAATCGTAGAGACGGTTTTAGAGGCAGCTATGAGGGGCAGATAATTTAGTTTTAAACGATTTTAAACTAAGGGGAGATAAATAAGGAGGCTGCTTTCACGAGGGGGGGGGAGGAGGGTTTTAGTGTTTTACAGCAAATATTTTCAGTGGCAGTAGTAGTACTGCCGAATTCACAAATTATGAATTACTGAAAAGTAGAAAAAAACAACAACTATATAGCGGCGTATGATACGCCGCGGGTCGGCTTCTATGTGATGTTGTGAAAGAGAGAGGCACTTATTGATCAAAAACTCGTGACGTCATTAAAGAATGGTCCTTAACAAGAACTTATTGGGCATCTTTATCGATGTATCTTTGAATGTAAGGTATAACTTTGTGTATTTTATCTTCTTTTACAAAAACAAAATGTCACTAATCCACTAAAACGCGTGAAACGTCATTAATTAATTAACTATTATTTTTTTAGAGCGAATCTGTATGGCACTGGTGGTTCCACGGAGTCTAGTAAGTCGTGTTTCCTTATGTTAAACACTCATCCCCATTATTCTTCAGTGCATTTTAAAACTCTCATCGCGTAAAGGATAAAAGTTCCCAAGTATATAAACGTACTCATTTAAACAGTTCTCATACTTACACGCATACAAAGATGCTTACACTGACATCCCGTGTACGTCAGCGCACACAAATCGATATGCATTAATTGACCATTCATGAATGTAAATATTGTTGTAATGTTCTGTATTACTCTCCAGGTAACACCAACATTGGCTCCGTGTGTAACGGTGTGTCCGCTGTGTCCATAGCAGAGTTCCAGGGAACATACCGTGACGTTGTTTCTCTTGCCCACGCTATTGGCTTCATGTACGTAATCCAATGTTACAAAAACAACATTATTATAAACATAAAGCTCATAAAAACAAACCAACTACAATGTTTGAGTTACATATTCTAAAGTCTTTTTTCTACCATTTGTAAATAAATGAAGATGTACGTTTAATAGGTTGGGTGCCAACAACGACGACGCCACATCCACCTACATCATGTCGCCCTACAACTACGCGACACAGCCCAACCGTTGGAGCTACTCCAGCATCACAGCAGCATACATGAAGCTTTTCTTTAGCCAGCTCTCGTAAGTGACGGAGATTTAACGCTTCATGGTGCTAAAACCCAAATCTTCACTATACAATCATATAAGTAAACACAAACCCTCCACCATACATTATACACAGCTTACATGAAGTTCTCAATTCAGCCAACATACTACCACATCACTGCCATCCAGGCACAGTAGTACCACAACACTTAAGTCCCCCAAGACTAACGTCCAACCATCACCATGGTTACACAGCACTAACTTTGATCCATTCCATTCACAGCCCCAACTGCCTGCTAACCACCAACAGCCAGTCCACCAGACTGACCGTCTCCTATGGTACCTACACAGGTGATGAGCTTAACCCTGACATCGTCTGCCAGAGGGCATTGGGCACTAAACAGACGTCATTCTGCCGGGTAACACACTATTAATTCACTGTGACTTCTTATTTAACTACATATCATGTTGTAAACTCTTCACTATGATTCTACATGCACGTGAAATAAATACATCACATTTGAAACTGTTATTAGTTTTCACATAGGTGCACACCATTAGTGATCGTCAGTAAGCTTTTGATTGCCATTACAGTGTACACAAACCTTCAGTGAATGCTGACATTTTACTACCTCTACAGATCCTCAATAAACTTTGACATTTTATTACCTCTATAGATCCTCAATAAACTTTGACATTTTACTACCTTTACAGATCCTCAATAATCTTTGACCTTAAACTACCTCTACAGATTCTAAATAAACTTTGACCTTAGTCAATCAGCGAACTCTGACCTCTCATTACCTCCACAGACCATCTATGAACTCTGACCTTTCATTAACCCCCACAGACCCTGAGCCCACTGAATGGTGACGCCGTCTGCTCACAGATCTACTGCCGTGTACCTGGTACCCAGACCTGCACCGCCATCTTTCCCTCTGATGGGACCCCATGTAACAGACAAAAGGTAATTTTCACCTTTACGTTTGTCTACATGTAACAACATCAGCGTAATTGGAGTAGTGGTTTTACCGTAGTCCAACACAAGACTTCATAGAATAGGTGTGTTTGGTTGTTAGTGGAATTGTAATCACATGTTTAGTGCTAAAGTCAGAGATTAACTCCACGGTAAGGCTATTGGTATTTATTTATAAACCAGTATTCAACCTCCACCCCAACCCCCTACTTTAAAAAAAATCGAGAATTCTAATTGTGGAAATATTGGAACCTGTTATAACTCATTAGCTGACCTGTCCATTTTTACAGTTTCTCTCAAACTTTGGGCTCTTTAAACAAAAAGCTAAATTTAGTTGAACGGTTTTGAATAATTGCAAACAGTTTTTAAAGCAATACATTTTGTCTTTCATTTTGTTTAAAACTACAGAACCCCAGTGATAGTACACACAGCCAAATTTCATACACTCTGATATTTTAAAAAACAAAATTGATTATAATATTCTACCTTTGACACTTGATACATTATTTTCATTAATTATATTTTTCTAAATTTTACTTGCCAAACATACTCATTGAGACGTACAGGTGTGTTTTTAAACATGTGTTATTTGAGGGTGATAATTATTAATGATTAATGATGTCTGGGTTAGTTTACTCATTTGTCTAACTAAGGCAATTTATTACAAAGCAATTCGTCACTTTATAATAAACTTTAATGCTCTTTTATTACAGAGATGTAACTCAGGCACATGCCAGCCCGACTCTACTGCAGCTACACAAAACCTTGACCGTAAGTAAAGAAAATTGTCACGTGATCTGAAAACTTAGATAGCGAAGCTTGAAAAAAAAATGTAATATTTTAAGTATCTACTTATTCAAACTCAATCTGTAGCTTCTATATACTGTTTAAAATGACTATTTAACACCTGTATCTTTCTACCTGTACAGCCAACTGTGTGTGGGGTGACCAGACCACTCTGGAACTACCGTCCGTCCCCTACGTTGGAAGCTGCCCAGGGTTCGTTGCCCTCTACAAACCCATCAACTGCTACGTCACATCACTACAACAGCAGTGCTGCGGCACGTGCAAGCAATACTACACTGGACGTGTTGGTGAGTCGTTGTTTGATAGGTTTAGGTTTGGATTTTTAATCATATCATACGTATGTGTTCATCTCAAAGGTTTTATATATATATATACGCACATATATACGTATGACATTTTTTTCTTATAGAAATAACATGCTAATATAAAACATTACAATTATATTGTTTAATAACGCAACCTCTTGATCCAGGATGTGAGTATGGCGACAAATCCCTGAGCTGCACGAAATACACCAAAGCTTCAGTCTGCCCCACCTACGGGAACACCCTCTGCTGTGGCTACTGCTAGTAAGTCTTCTGGTTAATTCCCTTGGCTTTAAACATGTTTCGTCGGGTTTCAGTACGAGCTTTTATGACGGCTTAATGATGCTTGTCTTTGAAATAAGTTATTGAAGTCTAGTGTAATGGGTTAGATCATAGCACTACAGGGTTTATACTGCTCAGTTTGCTCTTCTTCCTCCATGTAGTCAACAAATCGTGCAATATATTTAGTTTATTTGCAGTGATACATGTATGTATGTATATATATAAATAAATAAATCTATCTATATATATATATACTAGCCGTCCCGGCCAGGCCCTGCTCTGGCTTCTGTGAAAAAGCTTTCTGTTAAAGACCATTACCTGTGTGTTTAGTAATCATCATAAACCCGGCATTGCCCACCCAAACCACAACCAACCAAAACAACAAAACGCAAACATAACGCTAACACAATTACAAATACAAACGAAAACAAAAACCTAACAACAAACCCAACCACAACCACAAACACCAATACAAACACAAAGAAAAAACAAACAAAAAAGTAAACGAAAACAAAAACCTAACAACAAACCCAACCACAAACATCAATACCAAAAAAAAAAAAAAAACAACGAAAAAGCAAACGAAAACAAACCAAATCCAAACGCAAAACCAACCAAAAACACAAATACAAATCCAAACAAAAAAACACAAACAAAAACGAAAAAAGAAAGAACAAAAACGAACCAAATCAAAACGCAACCACTAACGCAAACCCACCTAAACACAAAGAAAACACTAACGCGAACATAAACGCCCGGGGCGGAATCACCTGTTTTAGCCTAATGAACGACTATAGTACCCCAACTTATTCATAGTCTTTTGCACTCACTTAAACGAACGCGCCTGTTTCAATTTGATAAACAATTTTAATACTCCAAGCTTATCCATAAAATACCTACAACATTTGCACTTGATCAATCCCCGCTAATTATGTAATTATTTTTTTTCCCAACACCAAAACAAAGTAATTAAAAAGTAAATTATTTTCGACTAATGCAATGGTTTTATAAAGGGAAGTAATTTTGTTTTCCTAATTTATCAAAGGGAAGTAAGTGCTATAGGACTAAATAAAGACATAATTAGAATTTTTGTAAAAGATGATATTTTTTTAAAACTTGTGTTTAATGAACATGCCGACAATTGTTACTGTAATTTGAAAAATGAAAATGATTTCCCAACACTTTCAATAGTAATTTTTTAGCTCATAAATTTAGACAAATGCGCACGATAATTTTCTAACACTTAAATTCATACAATTCCAACGACAAACATATGCATTACATAAAGAACTGAGCTTTATATATTAGATATATATATATATATAAAGCAAAGTGGTTAGGTTGACGCACCCGGCGCCGCAGGTGCGTCAAATTTGGCACGATGGTGCCTTGGGGGAATAGAACACGAGCGCCGGTGACGGTTGACCGAAATGTCCACGGAAAGGGGGTCAAAACTGACCTTGACTGACCGGCGCCTTATATGGGCTATATTACGAAAAAAACTTTTGCCAACGACCCCCCTTGATATTTTGTGAGGTGGTTCAAGATCGCCTTGGGGTCTCAGAAAAAACTCGGCATATCTAGGAAAATTTCGTAAAGGGGTCAAAACTGACCAGTTGTATTTCCCCATATAATCTTTGTATTTTATGGGAAAAACAGAGGGTCATTTCAACAAAGAGTTCAGGTCACTTTTTTGTACATCTAGCTAATTTTTGGCATGCACCTAGGTAAATGGATTGGCCATTTAGTTAAACTATCGGTTTGACTCAAAACCCTCGACGAGGGCTAAAACATGACCGCGAGTGAAAATCTCCTTATTTGAGCTATATAACGAAAAAAATTCTCGCCGATCGAACCCCCTTGATATTTTGTGAGGTGGTAGGAGAACACCTAGGGGTGTCAGAAAAAGCTCGCCATGTCCGGGAGAAATCTGGAAATCGGTAAACACTGACCAGTCGTATTTCCGTATATAATCTTTGTATTTTATGAGAAGAACAGGGTAATTTCAACTTAAATTTTAGGATACTTATCTATTTATCTGGCCATTTTTTTGCATGCACCTCTATAGATGACTAGGCCGTATGGAAAAACTGTTGGTCAGACTCAAAGCACTAGACGAGGTCTAAAAAGTGACCGCTAGTGAAATTCTCATTATATAAGATATATATAAATAAATTGACGAACGATCTCCCTAATATTTTGTGAGGTCGTAGACCGAACCCGGAGGATAACAAAAAAAAAAACATTATTCCTGTCGAAAAAAACCCTTAGGTTCGTTAGATTTCTCTAGATGATGTATTTTCTTCTTAATTAATTGTTTGTAAAAAAAGTAAACAGACACACACACACATATATATATATATATATATATATATATATATATATATATATATATATATATATATTTATTTATTTATTTATTTATTTAAATAGATATATATATATAACCTGACGATTGTAAACGATCCTATCAACTTGTATTTACTCTACCAGTGGCTATATGGGCAAGCGTTCTATTCTTGACGGTATCGGTCAACCACCAATAAACATCACCCTCACCCCACCCGTAAACCCACGGGGAATTATAGGACAGGAGCATAAGGACAGGATCAGTGGACCTCATTAGATGGTCGTTAGTCGACCTAATTAAAATGGTCATTAGTTGACCTGAATTATCTAGCCATTAGTGACTAAATACAAAATGTAGCTCTCTTTTAACCTCAGTATGTAGTGTTGTAGTATAGTAGCGATAGCATAATCTAGTATTGAAATTAAATATGCTGTTATAAAAAGTTACAGGTAAAAATAGCTTCATTGATTTCTCAATTACAATTAATCACAATACTCAGATTTATAAATAGAGTATTTTAAAATTTAATTTATGGATCTGGCTTACTCTGAATTTAACAACAGTGAAATGAAAACGCCTTTTTTAAAAATTATTTTAACATTAAAAAAACCGCTAGAGATAGTTTAAGGTTGGTTTTTTTTCAGCTTTTACCTACATGTAATTTTATAAATATATATTTTGTAATACTTTTAATAAATAACCCTACACATTTATTTAGTGAATGCTGTATTTTGTTACCATGATTATTGGCTCTATTAAAAGCTTTTTTTTTTTAATTCTTGTTGATATCATTTCTGTGAGGGGGACTCTTAAGGGACACTTACATGTAATATAGTAAATTGAACATTTGATTTTTTAAATCTACATTTAATATCCTGTCTGCATGACACACAGACAAATAAACAAGATCCCGATTATGAACATTCCAACTAGAACTTAACTTTGTTCCATGTTAAAAATGTATCTTTATTTTAGACATAAACTATCGAGTTTAAATTTTTTTTCTTGACAACATTTTAAGAAAAAATTGTGTTTTCATCATTATACCATGCCGCCTCTATTTTTTTTGGCTTTAAGATAAATCTAGTAACTCAGTTGTTTATGATATGCCTTTAACACTACAGACACATTTGACGATGCAATAACATAATATTTTAGAACATAAAAGAATACTAAATGACTCATTAACAAAATAAAGTTCATTAAAAAAAAAAATTTACAAAATGGGAGATAACAAGATTATGGTCTATTTTGTATTTTAAAATTCATCATTACTAAAAGAAGAAAAAAACATGTTAAAACGGATATCAATATATTTACAATAATACGCTATTTAAATTATAGGAAAAAAGAAAATAAACGAACTTGCATTATTTAGTACAATTTTTGATAAAATAATTGATTACTAAAATGTGTAGGTGTTTACGTTTAAAAGCGAATACATATTTATATTTTTGTTTTCATGATGATTTAACAGGAGAGCTTAAGCAAACTGAAATATTTAAGTGCAATGAGTGGACAGAGTAAAGGATAGAGGTAGGGAAGAACGAGGAGCTAGGGAGAAAGAGGGAGAGAGAAGGACGGAGATAATAAGAGGGGAGAGAGAAGGACGGAGAGAGTTAGGGAGAGAGAAGGACTGAGAGAGTTAGGGAGAGAAGGACGGAGAGAGGGAGAGAGAAGGACAGAGAGAGGGAGAGAGAAGGACGGAGAGAGAAGGACGGAGAGAGTTGGGAAGAGAGAAGGACGGAGAGAGTTAGGGAGAGAGAAGGACGGAGAGAGCTAAGGAGAGAGAAGGACGGAGAGAGGGAGAGAGAAGGACGGACAGAGTTAGGGAGAAAGAAGGACGGAGAGAGTTAAGGAGAGAGAAGGACGGAGAGAGTTAGGGAGAGAGAAGGACGGAGAGAGGGAGAAAGAAGGACGGAGAGAGTTAGGGAGAGAGAAGGACGGAGAGAGTTAGGGAGAGAGAAGGACGGAGAGAGGGAGAAAGAAAGACGGAGAGAGTTAGGGAGAGAAAAGGACGGAGAGAGTTAGGGAGAGAGAAGGACGGAGAGAGCTAAGGAGAGAGAAGGACGGAGAGAGTTAAGGAGAGAGAAGGACGGAGAGAGTTAGGGAGAGAGAAGGACGGAGAGAGTTAGGGAGAGAGAAGGACGGAGAGAGCTAGGGAGAGAGAAGGACGGAGAGAGTTAGGGAGAGAGAAGGACGGAGAGAGTTAGGGAGAGAGAAGGACGGAGAGAGCTAAGGAGAGAGAAGGACGGAGAGAGTTAGGGAGAGAGAAGGACGGAGAGAGGGAGAGAGAAGGACGGAGCGAGTTAGGGAGAGAGAAGGGCGGAGAGAGGGAGATAGAAGAACGGAGAGAGTTAGGGAGAAAGAAGGGCGGAGAGAGGGAGAGAGAAGGACGGAGAGAGCTAAGGAGAGAGAAGGACGGAGAGAGTTAGGGAGAGAGAAGGACGGAGAGAGTTAGGGAGAGAGAAGGACGGAGAGAGTTAGGGAGAGAGAAGAACGGAGAGAGGTGGAGAGAGAAGAGCGGAGAGAGTTAGAGAGAGAAGGACAGAGAGATGGAGAGAGAAGGTCGGAGAGAGTAGGGGAAAGAAGGACGGAGAGAGGGAGAGAGAAGGACGGAGAGAGTTAAAGAGAGAGAAGGACGGAGAGAGGGAGAGAGAAGGACGGAGAGAGGGAGAGAGGAGGACGGAGAGAGGAAGAGAGAAGGTCGGAGAGAGTTAGGAAGAGAGATGGACGGAGAAAGGGAGAGAGGACGGAGAGAGTTAAAGAGAGAGAAGGACGGTGAGAGGGAGAGAGAAGGACGGAGAGAGGGAGAAAGAAGGACGAAGAGAGTTAGTTAGAGAGAAGGACGGAGAGAAATTGGGAGAGAGAAGGACGGAGAGAGTTAGGAAGAGAGAAAGACGGAGAAAGTTAGGGAGAGAGAAGGACGGAGAGATCGAGAGAGAAGGACAGAGAGAGTTAGGAAGAGAGAAAGACGGAGAGAGCTAGGGAGAGAGGACGGAGAGAGTTAGAGAGTAAGAAGGACGGAGAGAGGGAGAGAGAAGGACAGAGAGTTAAGAAGAGAGAAGGACGGTGCGAGTTAGGGAGAGAGAAGGACGGAGAGAGGGAGAGAGAAGGACGGAGCGAGTTAGGGAGAGAGAAGGACGGAGAGAGGGAGAGAGAAAGACGGAGAGAGGGAGAGAGAAGGACGGAGAGAGTTAGAGAGAAAGAAGGGCGGAGAGAGGGAGAGAGAAGGACGGAGAGAGTTTGGGAGAGAGAAGGACGGAGAGAGTTAGGGAGAGAGAAGGACGGAGAGAGTTAGGGAGAGAGAAGAACGGAGAGAGGTGGAGAGAGAAGAGTGGAGAGAGTTAGAGAGAGAAGGACGGAGAGAGGGAGAGAGAAGGACGGAGAGAGGGAGAGAGAAGGACGGAGAGAGTTAGGGAGAGAGAAGGACGGAGAGAGAAGGACGGAGAGAGAAGGACGGAGAGAGTTAGGGAGAGAGAAGGACGGAGAGAGTTAGGGAGAGAGAAGGACGGAGAGAGTTAGGGAGAGAGAAGGACGGAGAGAGAAGGACGGAGAGAGAAGGACGGAGAGAATTAGGGAGAGAGAAGGACGGAGAGAGGGAGAGAGAAGGACGGAGAGAGGGAGAAAGAAGGACGGAGAGAGATAGGGAGAGAGAAGGATGGATAGATGGAGCGAGAGAGAAGGACGGAGAGAGTAGGGGAGAGAAGGACGGAGAGAGGGAGAGAGGACGGAGAGAGTTAAAAAGAGAGAAGGACGGAGAGAGGGAGAGAGAAGGACGGAGAGAGGGAGAAAGAAGGACGGAGAGAGTTAGGGAGAGAGAAGGACGGAGAGAGTTAGGGAGAGAGAAGGACGGAGAGAGGGAGAGAGAAGGACGGAGAGAGGGAGAGAGAAGGACGGAGAGAGGGAGAAAGAAGGACGGAGAGAGGGAGAGAGAAGGACGGAGAGAGTTAGGGAGAGAGAAGGATGGAGAGATGGAGAGAGAGATGGACGGAGAGAGGGAGAGAGAAGGAAGGAGAGCGGGAGAGAGAAGGACGGAGAGAGTTAGGGAGAGAGAAGGACGGAGAGAGGGAGAGAGAAGGACGGAGAGAGTTAGGGAGAGAGAAGGACGGAGAGTGTTAGGGAGAGAGAATGACGGAGAGAGTTAGGGAGAGATAAGGACGGAGAGTGTTAGGGAGAGAGAAGGACGGAGAGTGTTAGGGAGAGAGAAGAATTGAGAGATGGAGGGAGAGAGAAGGACGGAGAGAGTTGGGAGTTAGAAAGACGGTAAGAGTTAGGGAGAGAGAAAACAAGTCCCCTTACACTGTGGGTGACATGCTTTAAGACAATCCATGCCAAGTGTTACCTTAGACTGTGGGTGACATGCTTTAAGACAATCCATGTCAAGTTCTACCTTAGACTGTGGGTGACATGCTTTAAGACAATCCATGTCAAGTTCTACCTTAGACTGTGGGTGACATGCTTTAAGACAATCCATGTCAAGTTCTACCTTAGACTGTGGGTGACATGCTTTAAGACAATCCATGTCAAGTTCTACCTTACACTGTGAATGACATGCTTTAAGACAATCCATGTCAAGTTCTACCTTACACTGTGAATGACATGCTTTAAGACAATCCATGTCAAGTGTTACCTTAGACTGTGGGTGACATGCTTTAAGACAATCCATGTCAAGTTCTACCTTACACTGTGAATGACATGCTTTAAGACAATCCATGTCAAGTTCTACCTTACACTGTAAATGACATGCTTTAAGACAATCCATGTCAAGTTCTACCTTACACTGTGAATGACATGCTTTAAGACAATCCATGTCAAGTGTTACCTTAGACTGTGGGTGACTTGCATTAAGACCCAACTGCCTTAGCCGTCATGCTTGAGTTACTTCGACCAGAACCCATCACGGTCACAATTGCTATGCGTGGGTTGATCAATACATTAAGCCTAAACAGTCAAAGATTTAAAGATGTATGCACAAAATAAAAAAAAATGCATAAAAAACGTTTTAATAACAAGCTTTTATGTAATAATGCACTAAAAAGTAGAAAATAAATTATAGACTACTATTTAAATAACTATAAAGAAAAGCGTGGGTCACTTTAGTATCTATTGGATACCTTTACTAATGTTAAGGAAGACACCCACGCTTTTCTTTATAGTTATTTAAATAGTAGTCTATAATTTATTTTCTACTTTTTAGTGCATTATTACATAAAAGCTTGTTATTAAAACGTTTTTTATGAATTTTTTTCCAGTACTTTACATGTTTTATTTACAATAGAGTTACATGACTTAAAACCATTGCGCGCCTACTGAACATCACGTTCAGTAGGCGCGCAATGGTTTTTGAACGCAGCCATTGAACGTGATGGCGCAGCTATCGAAGATGATGGCGCGTGTGGTGTGGTTGGCTAGACATGCCTACTAATTCGGTCCAAATTTTAATTAATTAATAAAAAATTAATTAGGCATCCAATTAAGTCAAATTTAGTTTTAGATTGCATTGTCTTCATGTCTTGACCCACGTGCCAACTGTGAATCGTATCGGTCAAGTAGAAGGGTCCGAATTTTCACTCCTGCGTTTCGGTCTAGACTGACGACTGACGACTGACGACAGACAGAGGAAGTGAGTTAAGTAAAAGCTTGTAAAAAAAATTCATAAAAAACGTTTTAATAACAAGCTTTTATGTAATGATGCACTAAAAAGTAGAAAATAAATTATAGACTACTATTTAAATAACTACTAGAATACCCGTCATCCGTTGGATAACTGTGGGTTTCGGGGGTCATCCATCAAAAAACATCACGTCTGTCACTCAGAGGCATAGCGACCCTTCCCGGCGCCCGGGGACAAACTTTTCGATTTTAACCCCCCCCCCCCCCCGCAAGATTTCGATTTGCAACCCCCCCCCCTCAAACTTTTGATGTGCACCCCCCCCCCCACTCAAACTTTCGATTTGCACCCCCCTCAACCTTTCAATTTATTTTTCCAAACCATTTTGGCGTCCCAACATATGTCCCCCCCCCACCCCCCTTCCCCCCTCCACCTCCCCCCGCCTCCCCTCCCGCCTCCCCTCCCCCTCCCGCCCCCCTCCTCGCTACGCTACTGCAGTGTCACTTATCGTCACAAAAAACAGACCCCACATTCAAAAATGTTTTTTATCTTTTAAAAACACCGAAAACACCGATTTCGGACTATCCCTTCATATACTGACGTCACCGGTGACCTACTCAACTCTACTTCACCTGCCCAGTGTCCCGCCAAGTCTCAGACATGTTTTTATCGTTTAAAAAACGATTCCAGCCGAGCATGTTTCTGACCACACTATCCTTTCATATGCTTAGGACAAAGAAACAGATGAACTCTACTTCACCTGCCCTGTATCCTGCCAAGTTCAGATAGGCAACTTTATCATTCACATCTAAAAAAAAAAATTGAAAAAAAAGATCATTGACATATTGGTCTAGAACCTGTACCACCCGAATGAGAGCGGACTACGCTATCAACTTAGCTATTTACTCGTGACGTCACAAATGAATTTTTATACTATACTTTTGAGTCTCCGCGCATAGATCTAGATATTAGGCTAGTAGTAGTAACTTTCAAATTAAATTTAATCTTAAATTAGCCAAACAAAGATTTATATAAAATAAAGAAGTTCTGAAATTAGCTAGATCTAGATAGAATTATCTAGATCTAGATTCTACGACTCGCTTGCTTAGGTCTTAAGTTTAGTTTTTCTTGCTAGATCTAGATCTCGAATCTAGATCTAGATCTAAATTAGATCTAATCATTAGCTACGCTGATAGGCCCGGAGCGAGCATTTCAAAATTACCATATTCCAAACAAAGATTTATACAAAATAATAAAGATCTAAAATAGTTTAGTATATAGAAAATCACTATTATCTAAATCTAGATAGAATTATCTATATTTTAGATCTACGACTGAGCTATATTTAGAATTTACGTTTATAATTTAGAATAATTCCGGTATAGAAGCAGCGTATGAATCTTAAGCTGCGCAAATACGCCCTGGAGCCAGCACTTCAAAATTTGCATAGTCGAAACAAAGATTTATACAAAATAATAAAGGTCTAAAATATTTTAGTATATAGAAACTCATTATTATCTAAATCTAGATAGAATTATCTATATTCTAGATCTACGACTGGTTTGCTTAAGTCTCGTTTCTTTTTTGGTTTGTATTAGGGAACAAGATACCCATGTTTTCGATAAAATTGTAATTTTTCTCCCCAAAATTTTTATTTCTTAATTCGATACTAATACCTTTTATCTATCTAACCCGAACATTTCGGACTTCTACAGCTTACGGTTATCCGTTTATTGCGATGTGAAACATGGTACCCCCGGCAAGTTTTCACACTACTACGCGGACTGCGGCTATCTTCGAACGGGTATTACATGTATTTATGGCCCGCGAGGCACCATAAACTTTACAGCAATCTAAGGGCCAAGCACTCGTGTACCCGCTGGTGTAGTGACCTTTTCTTGTGTTCTAAAAATAAGTGAGATAGAAGTTGTTTTCTACAAAGTAAAATTTTATATCAAACTCCATATAAGGGCATGCGCGTAAAAATTATGAATGGGAAGAGATTCATTGATACGCTTGACCAATCATATTATAGTACCATAAATCAAAATAATTCACGATAGGCTGCAACTAACCACGTGTGCTAGGCAGCCATCTTGTTTCTAGATAAACAAAACAATCGCCTGTCTCGTTTGTTTACCTCATTTGCGTATACTCTTCTATTTGTTGTTTTAAAGTTATAGTACAACATTAAGTTTAGTAATTGAAACGTGGCCTAGAAATGCACTGTTGATTATCACTGGAACAATATTAAACACTGTTTCGTACGCTTTATACTAAGCTGAAACAATGCGTCATGGACATGACTATCAGTTTGAAGAATGTACTGTCCATCCCCTTTACCCCCTTCATTCCCTTCTCGCCATTCAACCAACGGCCCGTTTATAATCTAGTTACGGCATGCTGTGATAGGCTTGAACGCTTTTATCAGGCTTTACACCGGACTGTATACGACACATGTGTTAATGTGTTTGCCCATCTCTCCGTATAGGGTGTGGTAGCAACGAATGTAAATACTAGATAGGATAGCTGAGAAGCATTCACTTAGGCCCTGTACTTGACCCTATCTACACAGATGTGTTATTCGCGGTTGAATGAACATTGGTAATCTATGGCTCATCAGTTCTTCACGCACTGTCCAGCGGTGGGGTGGGGTGGAGGGGGCGTGTCTAGCCTCAAGCGTTGTACCCAGTGTTGTGTTGTAGGCTATTATCATAAGGCAATAAACTTGTGTAAGCTACAATTTGAGTAGAGAAAGACATTATTTTGAAGTGAGAAGACCGGCTAACAAACAAAACTTGATCTGGTTTGAAGATAGCTGTTCTGAGAATACCGCTCGATTGATAGGATGTGTAATACTTAATAGTCATACATTCATTA